ACTGATGTCAGTGGTGGGCACGTTTATTGAACAATAGCTTCCACTTACCCAGGGTCTGGATTGCCCAGACTCTGTCCTGGGCCTTTCTGGTGCTTTCTCATCGCCTCCTTATAGCCAGTTACTTGTGAGGATACTGAGGATGCAGACAGGCGAAGGAGCTTTCCCGAGGCCTCAGGGCCAGTGAGTAGTGGAGTCCACATCTGCTTAGATACTTAATAGTCCTAAAAAGGTTTGGGGGAAACCTCAGAGACAAAAACGTCACTTTTCTCTCAGAGACAAAATGTCACCGTTGAAATACAGGCTTCGGTATCATGAAGATACGTTTCAGTCAATCTGGAGGGTCTTTAGTGAAAGCAGTTGATCTGAGATGAGCAGATTTAGTCAACAGACGCCTCCTTTGGTCCTGTTTTGTGCACCTAAGATTTGATTTTCACTTGGGTCTTCAGTTCTGGGGAGGGCAGACGGAGAACAGCAGGGGTCATCTGCTGTGGCATCGGGTGACAGTTCACTGCCCAGTCATCTGCTCACCTAATCTTTAACCGTTTTGAAAAATCCCGGTTTGAACTACTTAATCCCGTTTCTAAATAGCTCTGAGACTCGAAGAAGGATGGAGGCTAGTTTGGTTTTGCTATCTCCCTTTTCGTCTTACTGATTTAAAAGCCTGTGTTTTAGTTCGCTAATTCACTGAAGGAAGTGTGTTCTCTTCTCTCCCTGAATCCTATTCAGGACTAGTCTGAGGTGTGGATTTAAAGTGTATTGATTTTGAAGTTCTGGCTCCTTTCAGTTTGTCTGAGTTTCTTAGAGTAGTCACATTTAAAAAAGGGCTCTATTTCACCTCAGGGCCCTCGGCAGTTGAACTCTGTGACTGTTGTTTCATACCAAGCTGGTAGGTCACTCATTTACCCCTGCCATTGGTTTCCAGCCAATTTGCTATTTGGCTAAAAGATAAAATTCATAATGTTTGCTTAAGCTGTCTACTGCAGTTACATTTTATTTTATTTTTTATTTATTGTTGTAGTTTAAATGAAGGTTACATTTCAAGTTGGTTACATTTTATTTTTGAGTATACTCAGTATAAAGAAAATTCACTGTGGAAATCTGTGTTTCAAAGTGTTCTCATTTTGAAAAATGCTATTCTTAATTCAGGATAGTGGAAAGTGAAAGGAGTGGGGCGTTTTATAACTGATAATTGTTAAACAAGTCCTTTTCTTGTGTTTAAATCTCATGTTCAAAGTAAGTATACCGAAAGACAGAGTTCCAGGCTGGGGGAGTAGAGGACTTGCGTTCATCAGGTAGGGATGTGATGGCTCCACGCACTGGAAGATGGCTTCATGCTGACTGTCACATGGCCCGGGCAGGTGCTGGGGTTGCAGGCAGCTTTCTTCGTGTGGTGATTTGGGAACCAAGGTGCTTTCCATTTTTCAGCTCTTCCATCACTCAGTGCCTTTGTCTTCAGCATCCATCCAGGTTCAGTGGAAGAGCACAGAAGTTCTCGTGTTTCATGTCCCACTGGAGAAGACACTGTCACGTGGCCATCCCTACCTGCCAGAGAAGTTTGGAAACGTGGTCTAGTTGAGTGCCCGAGGATGGGGGAGTGGGTTGGAAGGACAGCTAGCTGTCTGCACCCTAGCAGCGCACAGCACAGACTATTCCCACGCAGGTTATGATGGCTGTGGGGCAGAGAGGCTTGTGGATTCGGGAGAGGGCAGAAAGAAAAGCATCAGTGGAAACTCTGTATTTCCTCTTGAGCAGGGGACTGCAGTCATTTTCGGTAAAGGGCCAGATAGTAAATTAGGCTTTGCAGGCCACATACGGTCTCTGTCACATATGATCTTCTTCATATTTTTGTTTTAACAACTCTTTAAAAATGTAAAAACCATCTTAGGCGCCCAGGCTGTGTCTGGATTTGATCTTTGGGCCTCAGTTTGCCAACCCCTGCTCTCAAGGATGGCATTGCCTGCTTCCTGTGTGCTGGGTACTTAAGATGCTTTAGCTCATGACAGCCAGCATTTCATAGTTAACTTTAAGGTTGAAATTTTGGAAGTTGGTTTTTACTTGAGGTAGATAACTTGTATCTTGATTCATAAGTTAGAAGTGTGACTTAGTTTGGGAACATTTGTAGTTTGTTGCCACTTGATTGATATGAATGAATGTCCTCTTCGTAATCAGCTAATAGTGCTTTTAGCTCGATATCAGATTTGCTTTTTTGTGATTTATTTCTTAGTATTTTTCATTACACTTTTCCATTATATATAAGATTACAAATAAAAAAGACTTGTTACTTTAAATGAGACTTAATTTTAAAAAAGGCTTCAGGCTAGATTTTTAACTAGTCCAGTTTTCTGACTTGAACGGAGAGAATATTAGAAATTGTCAAATTGGGTTTACAGGCCAAATTCAGTACATTAACCTGAGGACGTCGGTGAGTGGGGCGTGGGAAGGTGTTTGAATACGCCTGGTAGCTTTTCAGTCAGTTACTTTGCTGCAGTATTAAAAGTAGGTAAACTGAGTTATTTTGTCTATCTCTAGACATGCTAGGATCAAACTTTCAGAGGCCAGCTTTGAAGACGAGGCGGGCTGACGTGAATGATTAGGTTGTTTCTGGAGTTCTTTAAGATGATTTTCTACTTCAGCTAGATGAGCGCTCACATGCCCATCAGCATCCTTGGAACCCGGACGAGGCCTGTGACAGCGAGCTCCCCTTGTCGGTGCACTGCGTGGCACCGCTGCTTGGTCATCAGGAGCTCTGCTAGGAAGTGTGGGAGAGAGCGTAGAACACACAGAGAAGGCAGCCACGGCGCTCCCACAGGGCGGAGCAGACTGCACGACAGCCGCTGCCGTGGGCCCAGACAGGGAATGGCTTCTCTCCTTCCGCTTCGCAGGGAGGGAAGCCCACCTTTTCTCCTTTACTCCCTTGGTTTCCTTTCTTTTGGTAACCTATCTTTTGTCTTTTTGCTTGTCATTTTTTTTTAGGATAAAATAGTGTAGTAAAATTTTTTTTGCTTGCCGTTTTCTACACATCTGAAACCCAGGAAAGCTTTACGTATAAGGGTTACCCCCACTGACATTTTTCCAAAGTAATTTTTTTCTGTTACATGTAGATCATCTTTGCCCTTATTTCATTTCTAATTGTATTAGAAGTGGGTTGCTCTCTTTCTTTCTTTCACTAGCGAATGTTACCTTGACCCCCAGCGGCCTCTTCAGGGCTGCCCCTCCCTGTCCTGGTTTTGGAGGAGAGGCCACACGTTAGCCTGGTGCTGTGGGTGGTTGTGGAACGTGCTGGGAGTTGTGACACGGCTTCTCTAGCATGTTCTGTGACGTCTTCTGCACATCATTATCAGCCTAACCATTACGTGGAGAGGACAGCTGTGCCCTCGTCCATTGTGGACTACGGTCGCACGAGCTTGTGTGGAGGGTGCACGTCACTCGCGGACTCCTCGTCAGTAAGGTATAGCGAGTCTGATTTAGGTCCAGCGTCGCCGTCGGGTTTCGTGCGTAAACACGTCTTGGTCCCCCTGTTGCTGTTAGTTGATGTGAATGTATTGCCACGCGTTTCTGTTGACGCATTTAAAGATGTTCTGGACAGGGGCAGCTTTTACCACGCTTCACCTGTGATGATATTTTTATCCAACACTTGTTTCCTAAGGAGTTCTTCTTTTAGCTTCCTTAAAACTCTGCTTATGTTTTAAATAGTATGGTCCTACACTCAGTAAAGTCCAGGGTTTGATGCCTGTGTGAAGTGGACATGCCTTTATAGACCCTTGAGTAACCTGTTGTGGCACACACGCTTTTCTTATCTGTTACTGGATCGATCGGTATGATCTCTGGTGTCAAAACCTCTTGCCCTCTCTGATCTTTATTTTTAAAAGTGTTTTTGAAACAAACCAAATCAAAAAAAGTTAGCTGTGCCTGTGCTGTGTATCTCCAGATCACCTAGGTTCTTCTAGTGCAGGCTTTTAATGCGCACACGTAGATATTAACAGGCTTTTTGGTGAGGTCATGACGGGACACCACGCTAGGTGGATGGTGACACTGCACCCAACCTGTAGGTTTCCATTTTGGGGTGATGAGCCAGTGTGTGTTCTTACCAGACCCTGGACCAGGGAATCTGCAGTGGTGAGTGTCTTTGACTGATAGGAATGGTTGTAGCTTGTCAGCATCTTGTCATTGGTCAAAGGGCCTTCGAAATTGTCTCTTCATGGCAGCCTTCAGATTATATGGTGAACCCTGTTCTTCTTCCTAGCTGTAACAAATACCTTCTGTAACTATAACTTGAAGAAAATAAACTTTCTGTTTTCATTGTTGAGGGAGAAGGGAAGGGTGGGAGGAAGGTGGTGAAGGAGTATGTATGTGGCCTTGTGGAGTGATTGTTTTGATTGTCAAATGTTTTTCCTAGTAACTGAGGAGAATGGTCTCTCTAATTCCTCAAGAATTGGGTTCCAGAATTGGCAGAGGCTTTACCATTTTATGACTTTAAGACTTGTAGCTATGAGTGAAAGTGCTAGCAGTGGCCCGCAGTGCTGGTTTGTAGTGGGGTTGGTTGAATTCTTTAGTATTGTGAAGAGTGCTGGACACTTAGGTCTCATTACTTCTCATGTGTTGCTCAGGTTGCATTTCAAGAAGATGTTAGTTCATGTAAGAATGTGTTCTTCATCCCTAAGAAGTGGTTACTTTCTCCCTTCCCCAGAATTATATTCCTAACAAGGTAGGATGGTTGAGTTACTTTCTCAGGTCAAAATCATCCCAACTTTTAGCTTTAAGCATCTTCAAGTCAAAACTTTTTTGTTATCAATAAAAGTCTTTTATCTTTTTTCCTGAGAAAGTAAAAAAAAATCCTACCAGTTTTGCTTATTAAAGAAGTGTTTTAGAGGTTCAGTATGAAATTTATGTATGTGGGCCAAGTTGTCGTTTTAGACTGTAAAACTTAACTGAAATTTGAATTATGGAAAATGAAAATGTGAAGTTGAAATTTGATGAACTACTCTTTGCATTTTGTTTAGACCAGCATGTTTTGGAAGTTTGATCTTCACTCATCATCCCACATAGACACACTTCTAGAAAGAGAAGATGTAACACTGAAGGAGTTAATGGATGAGGAAGATGTTTTACAGGAATGTAAAGCTCAGAACCGCAAACTTATAGAGTTTCTGTTAAAAGCAGAATGTCTCGAAGATTTAGTCTCATTCATTATAGAAGAACCACCTCAAGACATGGATGAAAAGATCAGATACAAGTAAGAAAATTCCATCTTCTCTCTCGGGTGGGAGTAAAGCGAAGAGGGGAGAATGTTAGTGTGCTTGTTGTCAGTGCCCTGGTGCTGCTGTAGACCATTGACAGAGTGGTGAGATGCTCAGGACTGAGAGGCTTAGTGGAGACATAATCCATTCGCCAAAATGGAGTCTGGTGAAACGACAGGATTTTAACAATGAGTGTCATTTTTAAATCAGTCAGGAGGCTTCATGGAGGGGCAGAGTCCTTTATAAACAGCCGTGACAAGTTTCTTTAAATAGCAAGATGATTCAAGGTAACTGTTTTCTCTACATTGCAGATAGGAGGATAGTGATGATGTGGCTGCCCCAGATCACACAGCAAATCTAAATCAGATTTTGGGCCATGAAGAGCATTGCTGATAGAACAGATCCTAGCCTTTTGCTGACTGAAAATAAGGGTCTGGTTCTTGGTGGGCATTAGTGTAGCTCAATTTAAGTAAATAACTCCATGGATAACTTTAGTGAGTGGATGTAGCCGTCACTGGTCTAATCTGCTTACAGACGGAACAACAGTGAAGTGAGAATCCTTTATCACTTAATGCTTAATGCTTCTTATTCAAACCCCTGGAACAAAAAGCCATTGATTAAATAAACTTAACGGAATTAAATAAATTTAATGGAAATTAGGAAGAGCTGTGGCTTTTAGTAGAGTCTCCTTTGCCCTTTCTCCCCGTCTTTCCCGCTTTTCAGACATGTTTTCATTTCTGGGGCAGAGTTCTGCTATCAGGGAAATAGTACTTATAATGCTTTCAACTTGCTGGTGGCTTGTGTCTTCGAAGATGTCATGTTCTCTGCCAGCCATTAAAATTGACAACTAGCATTCAGTGAAAGCTTCGACTCAGGTCAGTATCCTAAAAAAGAAGAAGAAATCATTTGGCAGCAGAAATACCAGCATGTGTTAGAAAATGTCCCACTTTGGAATTCCCTTCATAGCACGTGGGTGAAGGCCTCTGGACAGGGGCGTACTCTGTAGGAGGCAGTGTGGCGTAGGTCCGAGAGCGTGGGCTTTGGAGCAGGCAGACCTGCAAGGACCGTGTAGGCCCCCATCTTAACAGGCTCTGAGAACTTGGCGAGTTACTTAACCTTCTCGGGTCTGTCTCCACGTGTAGCATGAAGCTGTTTCTTTATCTGGCCAAGAGAAGGCACGTCTTATGTAAAGGGCTTACGTTACCAAAAAGGAGTGGTGGCTTTTTTCCCTGTTACAACACAGCTTGGCAGTTTATTGTGCCGCTTTTGAAGCTGTTTGTGAAGCACTGTTTTGTGCCACCTTGAAGTTGGCAAGAGCCAGTTGTGCCTCACTGGACACAGCCTCTGGCTGGCTGCGATTGAAGGGGCCTGACTTGACTTGGGCAGAAGCGTTCTCTGCTGTGCTTCTGGTGAGGACAGTGTAATGACCGTGTGCAGTGTGCGCTTGAGTGCCTCGAGAGCGAGGCCAGCACAGAGGGGTCTTTTCAGGTGGGACCTGGAAGCTTTTCAGGGTTAAGGTTGGTGGTAGTCATATAAGGAAGTCTAGACTAGTTTTATAGTTTCTAGAGTGATTCCTGTGTTTTGCAAACTTCATAGTTATAAGTTAAGTACACAGCTGGATTGAAGCCATCATCGTTTTAACTTCTCAGTGACCAAAATGTTAGAGATTTGCCATTTTAATTTCAATGACAGGCGCTCTTCATTTTAAATGAGTTAGTAGAACTTTAAATAATAGATCATTATAAATCCAAAAGCTAAGACTACTTGAAAACGCTTCTAATCTGATGTATTCTGGGGTAGGTTTAATAGACATGGCATGTAGTTGTCATGTGAGATTCACTGATTTAACACACACTTGTTAAGTGTCTAATGAGTACCAGGCTCTGCTCTGGGCATTGGCATTACTGTCTAATGGGGTGAGCTGGATGAGGACGTGAACCCACTGTTTGTCAGATAAGCCTCCAGAGAGACAGAGAGCATGATAGAACAAGGACGCTGCGAGTGGTGAGGTGGAAGAAGGTGCCACCTGTTCAGGGACGTGCAGGGAGAGAGGAGGGTGCTGTGTGGGTTTGGGGAAGGAGCCTTCTAGGCAGAGGGAACAGCAGGTGCAGAAGCCCTAAAGTGCGGTGTGCTTGGTGTCCTCAACAGCAGGGCAGCTGGGGAGGGGGCAGCATTTTGAGTAGGGGAGGGAGGGCCGGGGATGAGGTCAGAGGTCGTGGGGGTGGGAGGGCAGGTCATGCAGGGCCCGCAGGCTCTGGTCAGGACTTGAGCTTTACTCTGGATGAGACAGGAAGCCATTGGAAGGTTTCGCGCAGCAGTGTAGACAGTGGCCCGTAGGAGGACAGGACCGCTCCTCTAGGTGGTCAGTTAAGAGGCTGCAGCGACAAGCAGAGAAACAGACGATCTTACAGCAGACCTGACTGGGGAGAAATGGTCAGATTCGGGCTTAGTTGACACAGAACTGAAGGGATTCCCTGATGGCAGAGGGATGGAGTGCAACAGAATGTGAAGTCACGAATGGCCACGAGGGGTTTGGCCTGGACCTTGAGGGCTGAAGGGCCTTTTATGGCACTGGGGATGATTGGAGGAGGAGGAGGAGATTTCAGAGGGGACGCCTGGGAGTTGGAGTGTGACCGGTCCAGCTTGAGATGCCCGTTAGACGTCACGTGGAGAGGAGGCGATGATGAGCGGGCAGTGGCTGTGTGAGCCTGGGGGCAGGCGGATGGCGTTTAAAGCCATGAGACCAAGTGAGATCACCTGGGGGATTGGTGCAGGTAGAGGAAAGGTTCAGAGACTGAACTCTGAGACCACTGGGCGGGTCACAGTTCCCACAGAGGGACCTAGAAGGAGTGGCTAGAGGTACAAGGAGAGCCTGGAGGGCCTAGTGTCCTTCGACCAAGGGCATCTGCTTCCGGACAGCAAGAAGGGACGGGGGTCAGTGCTGGCGTGAAGGCCAAGCAAGACGAGGACTGAGAATCACGGCAGCGTCGGGCTCGGTGGCCACGCCTGGGCAGTGTCTGTGGGGTGGTGGAGGTGAAGGCCTGGTTGGCATGCCTTTGAGGTCGAACTGGAGAGAAAGCAGAGACAGCTCTTTCACATAATTCCCTGTAAAGGGAGCTGAGAGAGAGTGGTGGTAGCTAGAAGCAGACTTGAGTCAGGAGAGGGTGTGTGTGTGTGGTTTTTTTCCCCTCAGTGGAAGAAATAATGGCACGTTTGCACGCTGGTGAAAGTGCTGCAGGACACAGGGACACAGTAGTGTCCAGGGAGAGGTGATCTGGTGATGCGCGCTGCTGGAGTAGGTGGGAGGGGTGGGATCCAGAGGCCAGTGGAGGGGTGGCCTTGGCAGGAGGAATGGGCCCAGATGCAAGGCAGGCCGGGGTGCAGGAGAGCTGGACCAAGGATCTAGTCGAAGGTGTGGCAGGGGAGGAAGAGGAAAGGTCCTGCCGAGGTTTGGGTAGTGGGATCCTCAGGTGTTGCAAAGCGAGGTTCATGTTGAGGAGGGAGTAGCTCCAGCCTGCCCAGAACCAGAACTCTCAGCCTGTTATGTAATGCCCAGGCCCGGCACACTTGCTTTGCTGGTTAGAGCGAGCCTGAGTCACCTGTGGGACGTGAACAGTCTACAGAGACGCCCAGGCCCTCCTCTAGACCTTCCACGTCCAAATTCAGAGCCTGCAGCCAGGATCAAGAACTACCTGTTACTAATCTTTTGTTTGCCAGCAATTTTCAAATTGGGCCAGTTGAGGAATACTCCTTACCCCGACAATAGCAGCATTTCTGCAGCTTTATAGTAGAAAATAAAGAAGAGTGCAGGCAGCTAGCATGCCTGCCAGGCTGTCTTCCCGGTGTTTTGTATGTTTTATCCTCCCCAGGAGATAGGACTATTGTTCTAATGTTGCAGATGAGGAAACTGAGGCCCAGAGAGGTTACATAACTTGCCCAAAGTTACACAGCTTGTGAGTGGAGGAGGCAGGTTTTGCACCCAGGTGGTGTGACTCCAGAAGCTGCACCTCTGACCCCCACGTTCTCTGCCCCTGGGGTAACGGTGCATCTGTGAACTCACATGTTCCGTAAGTGAGAGACCCTTTACACTCACCAAGCCACATCGTCATGCCCACACACCCACCAGTGCTGGTGGTGCAGTGGTTAAGAGCTCGGCTGCTACCCGGAAGGTTGGCAGTTTGAATCCACCAGTCGCTGCTTGGAAAACCCTGTGGGACAGTTCTGCTCTGTCCTGTAGGGTGGCTATGAGTCAGAACTGACTCAGCGGCAATGGGGTTTTTCTTCCCTACAAAGGTCCATTTTGGGACCTTCTCATGCTGCTCAGCCTTCTCCCCTCACTGCAGACCTTCTTAGGTGCTGTGGCTTTCTGGTCGGTTGCCCATTGCCACTGTGAGTTGGGCGGGATGGGGTGGGGTGGGGGTGGGTCTCAGAACAGCAGCCCTGGCCTCAGAGTGCTGCGTGTGCCCTGATCACGTAGGTTCCCACCCACAGGCCTCGCCTCTCCCGTCACACAGCTGCTTGTGGCTGTTTTGTCACCTCCCTGTCCTGGTCCGCCTTGGAGCTTGCCACTCCTGACAGCTAGTTGGGGTTCTGGACCCAGGCTGCTCTCCAGGGAGGAGTGGCAGAGTAGAGCAGGGCCTGTGGGTCAGGTGGAGGGCAGGCTGGACGGGCTTGATGTCTCCGTGGTTACTGCTAAATCGGGCACTAAGTAATAGTTGCAGCAAGTTGAGAAAAAGGATCTGCCCGTTTTTCAGAGGGGGTCTGAGTGGGGTGCAGGTATTTCTAAAGCTGTGGCTCTGAGAAGAGCCAGTGAGCATATCCAGAGCAGACGGCATGCTGGGGAGACGCCCGGGTGGCTTGCTGTACCCGGGAAGGTGGGCGTGAAGAGCAGGTTTCTGCCTGGGTAACCCAGACTCAGGTCTCTTCTCCACTTCAGTATGTAAGGGTATCTCATTCTTTTAAGATGTAAGAAGGACTGAACGCTTGATAAGGCTCCCAGAACAACACAAAGTACCATTTGCAAGCCATCTAAAAATAGAGATGGCTGCCCAGGTGTCTACAAGGTGCCCACAGGTGCTGTGTGCAGCACAGTGTCCTGGGAGCGGCGCCCCGCAGTTACCCAGTGAGTGCTACCACCAACAGCTCTCAGGGTGCTGCATCTGAGCTCCCATCTCCCCTCCCCTCCCCTGATAGCCCAGATGGCCTGCCGTGCAGCCTAGCCTCCTGTGACTTCTGAGTCCCAGGTGCTGTCTAGTTTTGTTGGGGAAAATGAACTCTTATTAAGGCTTGATTTAGAAGCAGTGTTTTCAACACATTAGAAAATTCAATTTAGTCTGGATAGAATGCATTGAAAGGATTTTCTAATTTCCAGAAGAAGATTCTGTTATTTTCACAAAGTTGCTGGAAGCCTTTCTAATCTGTGTTTTAATCTGTGTCGTGAAACTGTGACGTAGATGATGATATAAGTGTCCTGTTCTTCTAGGTACCCAAATATATCTTGTGAGTTGCTCACTTCCGATGTCTCCCAGATGAATGATAGACTGGGAGAAGATGAATCCTTGCTAATGAAATTATATAGCTTCCTCCTAAACGAGTCCCCCTTGAACCCACTGCTTGCCAGTTTCTTCAGCAAGGTGCTAAGTATTCTTATCAGCAGAAAACCAGAACAGGTAAATACTGTTTTCCAAGAGGTAAGTATTAGAGCTGATCCTCCCCCTGAGATGATCGCCCAGAAACCGTGTTCTGGGTTACTGTAAGTCCAGGTTCTATAAGAAAATGTATTTTCAACCTTCAGTGTTCTAAAAGCACACTGATTTACACATTAATGAGCTAGATAGGGTCTTACTTGGCACATCCGTTTCTCAGTGCCTTACCCCTTACTGTGTCAGCACCCTTTGGTTTCCTCTTTCGACAGGTAGTTAGAAGCATGAGGATGTGGGGAACCCATTTGGTGACAGTAGCATTTGACCCTCAGTGGTTGGATGTCTGGGTGGAGTCTTAGTGAGTCTTTGGTGTAGTAACAGTTTTTTGTTTCTTTTCTCCTAATGATGATCAGAAATGAAGCTTAAATTAAAAAGCTTTCCCATGAATGTAACTGATGACTGGTTTGTACAAATGGTGATCGTTTCTATTTTGCTTCTACTCAAAACGTAAATGCTCAGTAGGGACATCTGAGTGCAGACTGTCACACATGTGCCACTCTGCTGTTGCTGTCACACCCGGCTTCCTGCTGTCTTACTGTTGGGGCGATAACCATCTTTGTCTTCTCTGTTTTGTTCGTAACTCAGATGTACTTGGAACATTTATTTACCAAGTATCGTTTGTGCAGCGGTTCTCAAATGTGGTCCCTGCACCAGCAGCATCAGCATCACCTGAGAATTTGTTAGAAATGCAAGTTCTTAGACCACACCGCAGACCTACTGAATCAACAACTCTGTGTGGGTAGGGCCAGCCATCTGGGTTATTCACAAGCCTTCCAGATGATTCTGCTGCATGCTAAAGCTTGAGAATCACTGCTGTAGTGGATACTGGTGTGAAAAAGGACCTGCTTGCCAGGAGATTATAATCACTGATGAGAATAGGCACCCAAAGGACAGCTGGAGCCTCGGCTGCTCAAGTGCAAAGGAGCAGAGCTGCCAGAGCTGCAGCAAGCAAGGGTGTGCGAAGTGCGCAGGGCGGACAGACTCCCGGGCCTGGCTTCCTTCTTGGTGGATGATAGGCTGCGGCGATCCGTCCTTGCTCTCAGCAGACATGGAGGGGTATGTTCTGTCTGAGGAGCCCTGGTAGCACAGTGGTTAAAGTGCTCATTGGCTAACCAAAAGATCAGCGGTTCGAACCCACCAGCTTCTCCGCGGGAGAAAGATGTGGCAGTCTGCTTCCGTAAAGATTGCAGCCTTGGAAACCCTGTGGGGCGATTCTACTCTGTCCTATAGGGGCGTTATGAGTCGGAGTCAACTTGACGGCAACAGATTTGGTTTTTTTGTTAAATTCTATTCTTTGCCAAGGCTCAGTGGATACGTGTTTTATTTTAGAAAGACTGTATTCTTTTGCGCTCTTAATTGAGCAAGATCACCTTCCTGAAAGTGTATTGGAAGTAGAGTTTTTTAAGATAATAATCCAAACATCCTGCTTCCTGTGAAACACACAGTTTGCCTCTTCTGCCTTCCGGAAGTGCTGTACCCACCACGTGACATGGCCGCCCGGTCCTCAGAGGCGGTGGCAGCCGTGACAAGATGGGCCTTCCCTGCACGCGTTCCCTCCTCACCCCGTGCGTGCTACATGACCCCAAATTTGTGGGAGTCGGTTTTCAGTCTGTATTTGACTCCAGAGCGGGAACCCACTTAAAACTTTCTGGGGGCTCTGTGTGCTTGTATTGGACCTCAAGATCAGGCATTCTCTCTGTAACCGTGAGGGCAGCTGCCAGTTAAACTCTGAGAAAAGGGCCCAGCTGCTTCTTGTCTTTCTTGGTCCAGGGCTCCTTGGCTGATAATGAGAGGACACAGTGCAGCTTACTCTTTGGGGTACAGGGAAAGGCCAAAGCTGGGATCCCTCTGTCCTGAGAATTACCCATGTAAGGAAAGATGTCCTTGTTAGCGTGATGTGCTGCGATATATGCAGCTGCAAGTAATGAAAAAATTCCAACTCAGTCTGACTTAAGCGGTAAGGACACATACCTTAGCTTGTGAACAGGAAGTTCTGCTGTAGGATGTCTTCAGTGTTGGATGATGTAGCACCTCAAACACTGTCGTCTGTGATACAGGTGCTTTCTGTCCTTGCTGTGCTGACCACAGCGTCGCCCAGGATTTGTGCCTTTGGCCTCCAGGTCCAGTGCTTTTGCCACTGAATCATGGCGGATTTTGGTCACGTGTGACTTTTTTCTCGGGCTTATATTACGGTGTTTAACCTTGTTGTCTAGAGAAGCAGTCTGTGGTGGTTAGTCCTGGTTGTAGTAAGCAATGCTAGTTGTCATCTCTGGCTGTTAGATTTCCCATGTGGCCCACTGGAGGGATCATGGCGCCTGGGTTCATACAGATCTCGATCTCAGTCTCAGAGCGGCTACCTTTTAGCTCTAGGTCCTTTAACCTGTCTCACTTTCCTCACCTGTGCCGTTGGGTCACTCACCCTCCTTCAGGGGCTGTTGAGAGACCTCAGTGAGGTTCAGTTAGAGCAGCAGCCACACGGGCCATGGTGCTCCTGGGCCTTGGGGTGGGGTTTTGAGTAGATAACACAAACACACAGGCAGAAAGCAGGGGGTCCGCGAGGGGTACAGGATGAAGCAGGCCCCTGTACTCCAGTGCAGGAGAGGCCCTGGGGACAGAGTCATAATGTACATCCCTATTGCCAGATTCCCTCAGTGTGCCTGTCAGCCTCTCCCACCGTCTGCCCTTCTTGTGGTAATCTAATCAGGTGAATTGCCAGCATAAAACTCAGTGTGATGTTTGTATAGCAGGTGAGTTAGCTACTTGGACTGCAGTAGAAATCTTAATGTTTTCAGTGTTTTTCTGTTACTTGAGAGAATATAATGAAGAGTCTAAAAATGTTCCTGCATTTTGGTGTGAAGTCTGATGGGCCTATCTTATGTCCATAAGTTATTAACTGGTATATTCTCTTGCTGTTTCTAGGTGTATTAAATTTTTGACCCCCATTCTCTGAGAATTAATAATGAAAGTGAATAGGAAAAGAAATTATTATGGTGTATTTGTATTAAGGGACGTGTGATGATTTGGGAGATGTTTTTCCCAAGGGGGTTTTTGAACATTGAGACTATTAGCCGGGCTTTCCAACCTAACATCTTCTTACTAATTTGGTATTTGCCATTCTTGGGATTGTGGAGCTGGGAGGATTAGAGGGGTCAGGATTTAAAGCATTCTAAAGTTTATGGTTCCCAGGTTCCAGGTCTTTCAGCTTCTGGTTTGTTCTCCTCTAGATTGTGGATTTCCTAAAGAAGAAACGCGACTTTGTAGACCTTATCATAAAGCACATAGGAACCTCTGCGATCATGGACTTGCTGCTCAGGCTCCTGACATGTATCGAGCCTCCACAGCCCAGGCAAGATGTGTTGAATGTGAGTAGGATTATAACTTGTTGCTGAGGGAGGCTGAACAGACCAGGGTGCTGGGGAGGGTCTCCATGGTTGGAGTTTGTGGTGGAAGGCGGTCTGGGGGTCTGGGGGCAGGGAGAGGGTGGTGAAGGAAGGTTGTTGCAAGGGAGGAAGAGAGAGTCCGATTTCGCAAGACCTGGCTTCAGGATGTGCACATCCGTGGGTATGTGGGGTGAGTGCTTCTTTCCCTTGGCTGGTCTGTTCAGTGGTGGAGCTGGGCAGGTGTGGTGGGTAAAGCTGGGTCTGGTGGTAAGAGCAGAAATAAGGTTGGGGACTCTAACTCTCAATCTGAGTATGCTGTTAGGGAAGCTTCTTTTCTGACAGGATGATCAGACTCTGAAGGGTTCTGTCTCCAAAAGTTAAAATAGGGGAGGTGTAGATGGTTCCAGGGATCCAGCTTCAGAAGTAACTCTCTTCTCATGGATACTCAGGAGCAGGGGGTAGGAAGGAGAACAGAGCTTACTTCCACAAGGGCACATATTTTAAAATTCAGAGAGGTGGCTATCCTAGGCAGGATCTGGGTTGGGTGTGAGTAACCTGCAGATGTCTGTGCCTTCTCTCCATGTCTTCTGTCTCTTCCTCTCTCCCTTTCTTTCCTTTCAGTGTCTTCTTCCAGAACCATTCCCTAATCCATTCCATCTTTAATACTCAGCCTGGAACCTTAGTTAGAACTTACTCATTTCTTTGCAAATGAGTTTTGTTGAAAATGCTAATTTTAAGTAAAGCCCTGAAGGGTCAGGAGGCGAGATGGGAGGGCCTTAGAGAGGAAGGTCTGTCGGGTGGTGCCCCAGGAAAGGGCGTGTTCCGCTGGGTGGGAGGTGCACCAGAGTGAGTGTTTCTGAGGGTCAGGCTGGTTCGGTAGAGGGGAACAACCCAGGCAAAGAGGTTCTCCTGAGAACTGCTGGTCACTGCGAGCCAATGCAGTGAGTGCTGGGAATGACCTGTGGGAATGGGGACAGCTGATCCCTTTAAAGGGCAGCTTTCCTCAGAAGAGACTGAGGAACTTGGGGAAGATTGTTGAGGACGAGGGGGAGGCCATGTTTGTATTTGGGTTATTACAGGGGAAACCGTCTTTTCCTTTCGGGGAAAAGATTTCTTCCATATGGTTTGCTTGACTGGATTTATTCCTTTGGTCACTTCTGGGTTGAATTTCAGGGCCCCTTTCCAAAGGAATAGATACATTCCTGGAGGGATATGGTGATAGGTGGTTAATGAAAGCTAAGTGTAGGTGGGGGAAGGCCTAGTTGGAAACTCCCAAATGTCTTACTCTAATTTGGGGGCCGTCATGGGGGAGTTAATCCAAAAGCGGGCTCAGACTGGAGGTGCTTGTGGATAGCTGTGGAGGCAGTTGGAGTCAGGAACTGACTGATGACTTCACTGCCCAGAGAGCCTCCAGGTTTCTCCCGTGGCGGTGAGACCCACCTCGCCCCCGCTCACACACAGAAGTCTACCAAGCTGTGCTTTAGGATCTTGCTTGTTAGAAATCCATAACGTCAGACCTCACCCTTGGCCTCGCAGCATTTAACAAGCCCCCCGGGTGATTGGTGTGCAGGGTTAAGGCAGGTTTTAAACTATGAAGTGGGCCTCTTGTCTTTGTCGGTCCTCCTGCCAGCTGTTTGCACTCCCTTTCGTTGATGCCCTCCCCTGAGGACTTGAGACAGGTGTGTGAGGGGTGTGCTCTGTGCCCCTCCCCCTCCCCCATCCCACCTGCTTTAACCTTTGGGTTAGAAGCCTGGGTTTCTTGGTGTCCTTTTCAGGTAGTCAGCTGCCTTGTTTATTTTGGTGCTTCAGCTCCTTGTGGAGTTGCTATGAAGCCAGCGAATTTTCCACTTATTTTTCTACAGTCTCACCCCTTCATATTTTCATTCAGGAAGCATGTAGCTCGCTTGATTCCTCTGCTCACCTCTGTCCCCTTTTACTTCTAAGTCTAATAGAACATTGTCTTAAAACAATTCCCCCAGTTTTTCTCCTTTTATTTATTTGAAGTTCTGTAATTCCCCAAGACCACCATCTGAAAATGTTATAGTTTTATTCTTCAAAGCCAGACATGTTCACAGAACAGCATTTAGTGTTAGTATGTGGGCGTGGTAACGTGAGGGAGTTATTGGTGCTGTCGGTCACTGTTAAAATAATGTATTCACTGCCATCTTCCTTGGGGGACTTTTAATTTTCTGTAGTGTTCAAAGTCCAGAGAAACCTGTAACATTCTACTTAAAATGTGATGGATATTTCCAAGTATGTTAATCTTCACTGGGCTTGAACCAAGAGCCGCTCATTGCTATGATTACTTCTACAATGTGTTTTACAGTGGTTAAATGAGGAGAAAATCATCCAGAGGCTTGTGGAAATAGTTCATCCATCGCAAGAAGAAGATGTAAGTTCTACTCTTGGGTGACTGTAAACTCATAAAAAAAGAACTGTGTTTACTTGGGCACATAGCATGATTGTATAGAAGTGAAGATCATCGTAAAGGACAGGTAGAACAGCAATAATCTGACATTCTTGAAGTTGACAGTTTTCTAAACACTTTAAAAAATATGAGTTTGCTGATATCCACAAAATTTCCAGAAAGGTGGACCAGCAGGCCTGGTTTAAGACTGTCTCCTTTCTAGAGCTGGCATTTTGGGCTGGACCTGCTGGCCTTTGTCACACTTTTCCACTGTCCATGCTGCTTTTTCTTCTTATACCCAGGGACGGATTACCCAATAAGTAAAGTACGCACTGGCTTACTTATGCTTACTTAATAATGTGTAGTGCAGTTTCACCATATCAAAGATTTGGTGAAACCCTGTGAAATTGTGCACTACAGATTAGTAAGTAATCACAGTTAAGCCTGTGCATACCTCGCTTACTGTAAACTGGTGCCTACTGTGCTTCCTGGTTAGTCTGCCCCTGCTTACACCTGTCTTTAGCCCACGTGATGTGGCCACATCTGGCATCGTTTTGTCTGTTCTGGTTAGAGCTTTCCTGGCAGCAGAGTGCGAGCCTGCTCACTGGACAGTCCTTGATGGGCTCTTGGTCTGGGCCCAGGCCTTTGTGCTCTGACTCGGGGCCTCTGTCCTGGGTGCTGAAGACTGGCTTGGCAGTAGGATTGGACCTTGCAGATTGAGCCTGTGCTCAGGGGATGCCTGTGGGGCACGCTCGCGAGGCTCAGGGGGGGTGCGTGTTTCTGCGGAGTGAGTGGTCACAGGGCCTGTCTGCTGCCGCCATTTGTACCTTTAGTGTCAGGTGACACCAGATGAAATGGCCCGTGTTCAACCATGGTTGTCTACAGACGGCAGTCAGACTGTCAGCTGTGAAGGAGTTGGTTTGAGGGAGATGCAGGCTGTGTCAGGGGCACAGGTCCTCCTTGTAACCTCTAGGATGCAGGTGAAATCGGAGAGTGAGTAGAGCAGCATGGAGGATCCGTGGAGAGCAAGAAGGGTGCAGCCAGAGCGGTGCTCACTCTCAAAGGGGAACTGTCCGTTCTGGACCCTTCACAGACTTTTGGTACCCGGACTTCATCTAAAACAGGCTTTCAAAAAAAAGGCAAAAGAAAAAAAGGCTGACTATTAAAGTAGCTGTTGATTCTCATCGTCTCCCCTCGAGACAGACAGTGTGTTATGTGCTACCTGGTGACAGCTGTTACTGTTGCCGTGCAGAATTTGTATTCAGGAAGCGTTGATGGGGTTCTAGAGGGCATACTAGTGTGAGAGAATCCCTGGTTAGAGGGAGCCTTCCGTGCAGCTGGGGTGGTAAGGCCTGCTCCTGTGGGGTGAGGCTGGTGGTGATGGTCCAGGGAGCGTGGCAGTTCCAGGACCACATTGCCACGTGTGGAGGCTGTGCGGCCGGTCGGCTGTGGAGAGAGAGAGGAGCATGAACCTGCACCAGGGAGGAGGTCAGGACCGAGGCTTCTCAGCACTAGGGTTGTGTTCTTGAGCAGACGAGCTCGATGGCTCTGCAGGCTGTTACACCTGTCTGCAGGGCCCCCGAGAAATCAGTAAAGGAGAAGCCCAGCTCCACAGCAGGTTCTCTGGGAAGTTGTGGACGTCGGCTGTGTTCACCACCTTCCTGCTTGGCTTACAAGAAGGTTCATGTTGCCTTTTGGATAGTCCTGTCGATGCTGCTGCTGTTTTGTATTAAGTGATAAATCACATGTTAATAGTGTACTGGCCCGTTTGTATTAATGAAGGAAACGTGAGGCTCCTGGGTACAAGCAGTGGATTCTGATGTCCTGGCGTGCGTTGTCATCTCTGCTGGGTAGCGTTGTTCCACCTGGACCGGGAACACACGGCACAGCCTTCAGTCATGCTCATTTTCGCAGGCCACAGGATAGAGCATATCTGGGCACGGAGATTTGAGAGCTTTCCTGTGAGGCGAAACCCACTGTGCACTGGGAGGAGATTCAGAGTTCTGACCTGTTGGTGTATTCCAGAACATTCTGTCGGCCTGGTTTTAGTTTTTTTAAATCAAAGCCATGTGTACATCTTTGTATGCTGATAAAAGTATATAGTTTGGGGATATATTTTCTCCAAGTACTCAATTAAGAAACATTTTCCTTGTCAGAACTTTGATCGTGTCTCCCCACACAGAGTAACATACACTGTGCAGTATTCAGTAAAGATCGTTAACCTGATGAAATAGAATACTTATGCTTTATATAATGTTATTTCTTTTGGGCTTAACTTTTAACTCACTGAAGCTGAGAGCCAGTGTTAATTTGTGTTATTTCATACATAATATCCTTTCTAACTTACTATGAGAAATTTAACTTCTAACCTGTTTTATAGTTAAAATTGTCCTTTTTTCCTTTAGCGACATTCAAATGCATCCCAGTCACTTTGTGAAATTATTCGCCTGAGCAGAGACCAGATGTTACAAATTCAGAACAGTGCAGAACCAGATCCCCTGCTTGCCACTCTAGAAAAGTATGTTTGCGACCATGTTCTTGTTTTTTTTATGTTGATGCTACTGACGTGCTACCATTGTGAGTGGTTGGTAAGTTTTCTTATTCATGTTGGAATCACATCCCTGGAAAATATCCTTGGATGGATGAGAAATATGAAAACCTACTTATCTTAAATCAGCAGTTTGTGATGTACCGTGGAGATTTACAGAGTCAGAAGGTAAATAAATGACATTTATATGTAGACCTTTTTAATTATTTGCAAACATTCCCTAGAGCCATGATATAGTGGTCATGTAACAACTGTAGTCACTGCCTCCCAGGGTCTTTTGATGGAGAGTAGTTTTAGGTACATACTAATCTGACCCACTTTTAGGCAGCAGTTTTTATTAGAAGTTCTTAAGGTTTAGACACCTTTGTCGCTGACTAGGGGCAACCTGACCAGACCTGATTTGAAGGGTTTTGTTTCTTTGTACTGCTTCTGCCCTTATTCTTAGACAGTTCCTGATGAACAGTGACCTCATGTTGAGATGGAAGATGACTTGGGGATGGGGTGCTATTTGGAAGTTTGTGAATGGCCAACCTGTGCAGATTTAGTTTTTCTAGATTCACACATTTTCAGAAAGAATGTTTACTGTCAAGCATGGGCATACTTTTGCTTCACTGTAAAATGGTCAAAATACTGATTTGACCTGTGTTGTGGATTGAACTGTGTCCCCCAAAAATATGTGTTGTAAATCCTAACCTCTATGCTTGTGGTTGTAGTCCTGTTTGGGAATGGGTTGCTTTTGTTATGTTAATGAGACAGGCTTAGTATAGGGTGTGTCTTGAGTCAGTCTCTTTTGCAATATAAAAGATTAAGCTAGAAAGCACAGGTGAGGAAGAGAGATGCCAAGCCACGTGAAGATCCCCCAGGAGCAGAGGCTCAAAGAGACTAGGACCTTCTCCAGAGCCAGCACAGAGAGAAAGCCTTCCCCTAGAGCCGGTACCCTGAATTTAGACTTGTAGCCACCTAAACTGTGAGAAAATAAGTTTCTGTCTGTTAGAGCCATCCACTTGTGGTATTTCTATTATGACAGCACTAGATAACTAAGACAACCTGTATCCAGACCGCTGATAGTTATTTTAATGGAGAAAGTCAGGCATTCCCCCCGTTTTGGGTTAATAACTAGAATGACTTCATGCAGTTAGCATTGTTAAGTGTGAATGGCAGGCTTGCCTCAATTTGCTGGCATTGTTGTTATTCCTTTTGGGCTTACACTGTTAAATGCTTACATTGTTAAATACTAGTAGTGACTTCTCAGTCCCTTTTTAGTCCTCCTATGACTGAGGCTGTTTTACATCTTTTGGCTCAACTCCCGGGAAAACCCTTTTATTAAAAAAACATTGGTGTGTATCATTTCCTTGGCAAGTAGGAGATGGACAAAAACAAGTGGAAAGGAGCCAGCTCGTCTTAACCTGTCTCTGTCCTGAGAAGCGAAGTTTTATTTCCCGGGGTGCGGACTGGGCAGTCGTGGAAGAGTTCTCTGAGGTAGCAAAATTGAAAGTGATGATCAGCTTCTGAGTAAAATGTCATTTTTCCTGCCCCATTTCAGTATTCTTGACATTATGACATATGTACTCTTAAACCAAGTAGAAGACATTCCACAATGAAGTGCTAATAATTGCACTATTATTAGGTTGAACCATGTAGAACTGCCATTTGAGTAGATTAGAAAATGTTGAATATCATCAGTTTCCCATAGTTCACTACAGCGCTGTCCAGTAGAAACATCGTAAAAGCCATGTGTAAATTTACATTTTCTAGTAGCCACATGAAACAAGTTTAAAAAGGTGAAAGTGGTTTTAATATATTTTATTTAATCCAATATATAAAAATTATTAATGAGATGTTCTACATTTTTTTTTTCGTACAAAGTCTTGGAAATGCAGCATGTATTTTACACTTTGGACACATCAATTTAGACAAGCCACATTTTGAGTGCTCAATAGCCACATGTGGTGGCTGGCTGCTGTGTGGGACAGCTTGAATGGTGATTGATCAGTAGTCATCATGGAGTCCTCGAGTGCCTCTGCAGCCCTCCACCCTCGCAGCTCTATTTGAACCCAGCCTGTGACCTAGCCGTCGGCGCCTGCCCGTGGGCTGGCTTTTGTGTTTCCAGCTGGGTCTGTAGTCCTGAGTCAGGAAACCATAATTTCTGAAATGAAGATAGGTACATGCTTAGAGCTTACATTGTTAAATGCTAGTTGGACTAAGCCATGGCCCTGCGCTGTCACCAAAGCAAACCTTCCCTGTGCTGAGCAGCGGGGAGACTCAGTCTCCAATAGTGTTGCCACCTGCTTTTTGAGAATGAACCAACCCCCTTTTGATATCAGGCATGCCCCTACATTATGGGAATTCTTTCAATATCTGTTTATTGAGAAAATGCACAGTGAGAAAAGGCTTCTATGAAGTTAATAAAATTTTCTTAATCATAATGGCATCTGTATATATTTGATATTATGTTATTGGTAATAATATATGATATATCTGTGTATTTGATAAATAAGTTATTATATAATTACAATGAACTGTAATACATAATGGAGCCCTGGTGGCATAGTGGTTAAGAGCTGTGGCTGCTAACCAAAAGGTCAGCAGTTCGAATCTACCGGCTGCTCCTTGGAAGCCCTATGGGGCAGTTCTGCTCTGTCCTACAGAGTTGTTATGAGTCAGAATCGACTCAACAGCGATAGGTTATTATACATAATAATATAATGTACTCATATATCATCAAGGCAACTTACTGGCAATACTTAGTATACAGATAAATTTCCTAGCACTTTCCATGACAACACCAAACAACCCACAGTGAAGAGTGGCGGTGGCACTGAGAGGTCTGAGAAGGTGGGCGAAAGTGGTAGATGACAAACGTCGGCTCAGGAAGTGGTCTGGGCTGAAGTTAAATGCATTCAGTTTAGTGGCTCTGAGGAAAATTTTGAAGTTCAACACTTCTTAAAAACAATTGTGTTAGAGACGGTTGTCCTGTGCATCTCATAATTCTCGGTACTAATGAGCTTAGAATGAGTTGGGGGTGTGATCCCAGCTGAGCCAGTTAGTTTACAGGGGTGAGTCTTTTCTCTGGCTGCCCACATGCAAACCAAAATAAGATGGAAGTGAACCATTGTCTTAAAGGGATGGGTAGGGAACCTGGGTGGCTTCGTGCCTGCAGCAGCTCACGTGGGGAGCTTCACTGAGGTTCATCCAAGAATGCTGTGTTTTGAGCGTGATAACGAATGTATTCTCTTCCGTGTAAAATGCCTTGCTATTTCAAGACTATGAAGGCATTCCTTTTATCCTGTTTGAAAAGCTCAGTACTTTAGTTTTTTATTTCTTCTGCACTTGGCGATGTTTGTATGTTTAGGTAAGATTCAGGATACAGCACAGTTACTGTGTTGTTGCATCTTGTCCATCAAATGTTTGCTGGTTATTTCGCTGTTCTTGGTAGTCAGCAGGGTGCTTTCATGGATACAGTGGACTTCCACTCTGATGCAGCCATGAAATGGTAGGGCCTCTTTGTTAGCCACTCCCTGCAGGCATCAGTGTTGTGGAAGTACCATGTCACCCTTAGATAAGTAAGCACCGTGATGGAATGAGGGGGATGTGGGCATCTTCAGGTGGCTGCTATGTCAGTTCCGCTCCACATGCATTGGGGCTGCTGTATGAAGTGACATACAGATTCCTACTGTATCCTTTGTATTGCAGAAGGCAGTCTGTTTTCCAGAGCTTCATTCCAAACCTAATACTTATTGACTGCTGAGTACTGAATGACTTTTACAGTACTATTTTGGATAGAGACCTCACAAGCAATTTTTGTGCTGGTCTGGGATTACTTGAAAACCACTTCATGCAAGGGGATCCCTCTGAAGTTAGGCTGGATACTGGTTTTGTTTCTTCCCCAAAATATACAGAAGTTGTCTCCCACTTGCCCTCACCTGCCAAGAGGTAGTCAGGAGTATTCAGGTGCAGTAAAGTGCAGCTCTGTCTTGAGGATGGCTGGCATCTTGGCCAGATGAGCAGCCAAGGACAGTCCAGCTATATGGTACATTGTAAAGGAGGCTTAGTTTCTTAATGCATATAGATTCTGAAAGTCACTGAGTTCCTAATAAACTGGTTTTTTTTTTGTTGACAATGTCCATATAAGTTAAACTAATAGATCACTCTCATGTTTATGTTAACTGTGATGGTGAATATGTAAGGCAGAGATGTAATGGGAATAGCCTGTAGAGAATGCTCTTTAGGCAACAGTTCAAAGGCATTTCATTGCTGCCACGTTATTTTGATTTGCTGAATTTTAATTGTAGAACAAAATGCAACAATTGATGTTCTTTCTTAACTGTTTCAGATCTTTGTTCATTACACATTGATGCCTATATGGGAAAACATTTGTGGGTTATAACTAGTCTTTTAAAAAAATTTTCTTCCTTTTGTGCGAGTGAAGGGTTCTAAGTCCTCTTACTACCCTCAACCACCACCACCACCACCACCCTGTCCCGAGTAGGAAGTGGCTTTGAGTCTTGAAATATTTCTTGGCTCTGACCAAGATTGGCAAAGGCAAGCAGGGCCCAGATTATTTTGCTGAGGGGAGTGGGTAGGAATATCTGTATGGCTATATACGTCTATATCTACCTAACTATAGCTATATACCCACTCCTCGCTTATCAATATAGTTAGGTTCCAAAGACCGGGCCATTATGTGAAAACTGGCATTGTGCAAAAATGGAGGATGACCACATTGGATCACAAACAATGGAGATGACTATATCATTTCGTAATGGCCAAACGACTGAGAATCATGGCCCAGCCAAGTTGACACATAACCGTAACCATCACAGCCAGCGCTACTCTTGCCTTGCACCTTGGTGTTCGTTACTGCCAGACGTATGTCGTTAATGTGCAAAATAGTCAGATGATAGATTTTTTTGCTATTGTCATAAATGCGAAATGTCAGATAACAAGATAGTCAATAAGTGATGAGTGGGTGCATACATATATGAGAGTTATATAAGCAGGATCACTTGCCTAACTTTAATAAATGTATTAAAAAGAAAATCTTGTTAAGTAAAACAGATATGCTCGGGTGAGGATGAACTTGTGTATAACACTTATCTGACTTGTACCATGACCTTCTCTGAAGTTGTTAGTGTTAAATGATGTTGCAATTGGGACTTGACTATTGATTTGTTTCCCTAGGCAAGAAATTATAGAGCAGCTTCTATCAAATATTTTCCACAAGGAGAAAAATGAATCAGCCATAGTCAGTGCAATCCAAATACTGCTGACTTTGCTTGAAACTCGACGACCAACGTAAGCTTGTGTTTTCTCTTACTAAATGAGCCATTATGTTTCATTATGTTTTGCTTTTATATTTATTTGTGTAGTGTGTTCTTTTTTTTTTGATGCTTTAGATGAAAGTTTACAGAGCAAATTAGTTTCTCATTAAACAGTTAATACACAAGTTGTTTTGTGACATTGGTTCCCAATCCGGCAATGTGTCAACACTCTCCCCCTCTCCCCCTTGGGTTCCCTGTTTCCATTTTTCCTGTTTTCCTCTCCCTTCCTGCTTTCTTGTCTTTGCTTTTGGGCTGATGTGCCCATTAGTCTCGTATACGTCGTTGAACCACGATGCACATTCCTCGTGTGTGTTATTGTTGGCCCTGTAGACCTAACTAATCTTTGACTGAAGGGCGAACCTCAGGAGTGACTTCAGTACTGGGTCGAAAGGGTGTCCTGGGGGGCATACTCTTGGGGTTTCTCCAGTCTCTGTCAGACCAGCAGGCCTGGTCCCTTTTGTGTGTGTGTCTGTGTGTGTGAATGTTCGTTCTACATTTTTCTCCTGCTCTGCCTGGGACCTTCTGTTTTGATCCCTGTGTGCTTTTTTTGTTGTTGTTGTCGAAATTTACGTTTCAAGTTAGTCTCTTATACAAAACTTTATACATACATTGTTGGGGACGCTAATTGCTCTCCCTGTACGTTGACAGCACACCCCTCCTTTCCACCCCTGATTTCCCATGTGCATTCAATCCTGCATCCTTTTATTTTTAAGAGCTGCCCTTGAAATTCAGGGGCTGAATATTTTTCTACTTGTATAAACTACAACTTAGTTTTCTCTGATTATGGTAGATGGGGTGTGTTGAAAACACAGCTTGGTGAACATCTTGCTGTTATTTACTGGCCACGTTGGGTTTCCTTAGCCGTTAGGAAAGTGCCGCTCTCACAGACATCAAAAACACGACTGATAGCTCGGACACGGGAAGCTGCTGCTTGCTCACAGAAGATGAGAATAGGCATCCCTGGTCCGCGGGCAGTTCTCCGCCAGGCGGTGGTTCCGGGATCCAGACTCTTCATTCGTGGTCCTCTGAAGGTTGCTAACTTAGGCCTTTAGGTGGTTTTTTCTGGTTTCACACATGAAGGTGCTGCAGCTCATGAGGCCATTTTTAAATGGATGGGCAGGTGGCTTGAGGCCTTACAGAAACGTTCATGCTAACTGTATCAGAATCACACATGGTCCAGCCATTTAGTGTTTGTTGTGTTACTCTTCACAGTTTGTGTCCACTGCTAATTTGCTTGTTAATTGTCAGGGTTTTCTAACTGTTCCTGGGAGCACAAGAATTTGAAGAGGTGTGTATGCATCAGCAGTCCAGGATTGTGTGGATTTACAGTTACAATCCGTATCTTCTCTCTCTATTAATCCATCAGGGAAACCAGGGCCATGAAGAAGGGAACAGCAAAGGCCTGTTCTCAACATAATAAAAACTTAACCGTGCAGAGTCCCTGGATTTACTTTTAATCATGTAATTTTGATTTCTAGCTAGCAAAACAGTGAACCCAACCTTACCAACCTCTACTTTCCAAATTCCTTATCTCTGTTCCTGGTTTGTCTTATCTTTGGTCAGTAATAACGGGAGGACAGTGTGCAGCCCTACTTCTTCGAGTATGTTGCCATTTGTGATTGTGTCTGTCATTTTGACTGTGTCTCTCTTTTCCCTGTTTAATCACGTTTTAAATAACGTGAGCAGTAATTCGGTAACTCTTCTCAAGGTGCAGGACTGTTACCTTGCTGCTCTGATCAAAGGTACCCCCTGTTACTCACTCCATGCTGGAAGGTAATGCACCATCTCTTAAAATGATCTCAGAACCACAGGAAGTGGGGTTGTGGGGTTCATATAGACCACGCTGACTTCAGAGAGCAATACATCTGAGGAAAACCATGTTTTTGCATATGAAGAGGGGAGAAAAGCATAACTGTACAATTTAAACAGAGCAAACCGAGAAAACACAACAGTAAAAGAAAGACTAGAGGGACATTTCTGTGGCCATTAAATTCATTTATGATTAAAACCTCTCGACAAGTTAATAATAGAAAACTCGGAAACTGATAAAGGCCTCTTTAAAAACGACAGCTTATAGCTAATCATTATTTATGGTGAAAGGCTGAGATGCTTTCCCCTTAAAATTGGGGAATGGCAAGGATATTCGCCATGACCACTCCTGTCCAACCTTATGCTGGAGGCCCTACCCAGTGTAATAAGTTAAGGAAGGAGGAAAAGGCATACAGATTGGGAAGAAGGATATAAAGCCACTGTGCCCTTGTCATTGCTAACACCATTTGGGATTTGGGAGTCTTATTACACATGCATTTGTTTTCCTGTAAGGGGCTGGTTATAATGAATCTAGATTGAGCTTTATATAGAAGAGTAATTGAAGCCTTTTAAATAGGAAACAATGCTGATTACCCAATAAAAGCTATATGGAGCAAGTATAGGCCTACTTACTATTAACATCCCCAACTGACAGGTGATAAGATATGCCTTGTAATTCTGGGGTCCAGTCTCCTTTTGCTTTCCAAATTTTCTGGTCAGTTGTTGTTGTTAGGTGCTGTGGAGTCAAATCTTAACTCATAGCGACCCTATGTACAACAGAATGAAACACTACCCAGTCCTGCACCATCCTCATAATCATTGTTATGCTTGAGCCGATTGTCGCAGCCACTGTGTCAACCCATCTTATGGAGGGTCTTCTTCTTTTTCACTGGCTCTCTACTTTACCAAGCATGATGTCCTTCTCCAGGGACTGGTCCCTCCTGATAACATGTCCAAAGTATGTGAGACGTAGTCTCGCCATCCTTGCTTCTAAGGAGCATCCTGGTTATACTTCTTCCAAGACAGATTTGTTCATTCTTTTGGCAGTTCATGGTGCATTCAATATCCTTTGCCAACACCACAATTCAGAGGCATCAGTTCTTCTTGTCTTCCTTATTCATCATCCAGCTTTTGCATGCATATAAGGCAGTTGAAAACACCATGGCTCGGGTCCGGCACACCTTCGTCTCCAAGGCAACATCTTTGCTTTTTAACACTTTACAGAGGTTTTTTGCAGCAGATTTGCCTAGTGCAATGTATCTTTTGATTTCTTGACTGCTGCTTCCATGGGTGTTGATTGTGGATCCAAGCAAAATGAAATCAATGTTTTCTGTTTATCGTGATGTTGCTTAGTGGTCCAGTTGTGAGGATATTTGTTTTCTTTATGTTGAGGTGTAATGCATACTGAAGGCTGTAGTCTTTGATCTTCGTCAGTAAGTGCTTCATGTCCTCTTCACTTCCAGCAAGCAACGTTGTGTCATCTGCGTATCGCATGTTGTTAATGAGTCTTCCTCCAGTACTGATGTCCCGTTCTTCATATAGTCCAGCTTCTCCGATTATTTGTTCAGTATACAGATTGAATACGTATGGTGAAAGGATACAGCCCTGATGCACACCTTTCCTGACTTTAAGCCATACAGTATCGCCATCTTCTGTTCGAACAACTGCCTCTTGATCCATGTACAGGTTCCTCATGAGCACAATTAAGTGTTCTGGAATTCCCATTCTTCTCAGTGTTATCCATAATTTGTTATGATCTACATAGTTGAATGCCTTTGCACAGTCAATAAAACACAGGTAAACATCTTTCTGGTATTCTGTGCTTTCAGCCAGGATCCATCTGACATCAGCAATCATATTCCTGGTTCCACATCCTCTTCTGAAACCAGCTTGAATTTCTGGCAGTTCCCTGTTGATGTACTGCTGCAGCCGCTTTCGAATGATCTTCAGCAAGATTTTACTTTCGTGTGGTATTAATGATATTGTTTGATAATTTCTGCATTCGGTTGGAGCACCTTTCTTGGAAGTAGGCATAAATACGGATCTCTTCCAGTCAATTGGCCAGTTAGCTGTCCTCCAAATTTCTTGGCATAGACGAGTGAGCACTTCCAATGCTGCATCCGTTTGTTGAAACATCTCAGTTGGTATTCAGTCAGTTCCTGGAGCCTTGTTTTTCGCCAGTGCCTTCAGTGCAGCTTGGACTTCTTCCTTCAGTAGCATCGGTTCCTGATCATCTGCTACCTCCTAAAATGGCTGAACGTTGACCAGTTCTTTTTGGTACAGTGACTCTGTGTATTCCTTCCATCTTCTTTTGATGGCTTCCTGTGTTGTTTAATATTTTCCCCGTAGAATCCTTCACTGTTGCAACTCGAGGCTTGAAGTTTTTCTTCCATTCTTACAGCTTGAGAAATACTCTTTTGGTATCCTTCCCTTCTGGTTTTCTATCTCCAGGTGTTTGCACATATTGTTTTAATACTTTCCTTTGTCTTCTGTAGCCGCCCTTTGAAATCTTCCATTCAGCTCTGTTCCTTCATCATTTCTTTCGCTTTAGCTACTCGACAGTCAAGGGCATGTTTCAGAGTCACTTCTGACATCCATTTTGGTCTTTTCTTTCTTTCCTGTCTTTTTAATGACCTCTTGCTTTCTTCATGTATGATGTCCTTCCACAATTCGTCTGGTCTTCAGTCATTAGCGTTCAACACCTCAAATCTGTTCTTGAGATGACCTCTAAATTCAGGTGAGATATACTCAAGGTTGTACTTTGGTGCTCGTGGACTTGTTCTAATTTTCTTCAGTTTCAACTTGAACTTCCATATCAGCAGTTGATGGTCTGTTCTACAGTCGGCCCCTCGCCTTGTTCTGACTGATGATACTGAGCTTTTCCATCGTCTCTTTCCACAGATGTCGATTTGATTCCTGTGCATTGCATCTGGCGAGATCCACGTGTATAGTCGCCGTTTATGTTGTTGAGAAAGGTATTTGCAATGAAGAAGTCATTGGTCTTGCAGAATTCAATCATGTTATCTCCGGCATCATTTCTATCACCAAGGCCATGTTTTCCAACTACCACTCCTTCTTTTTTGTCTCCAGCTTTTGCATTCCAATCACCAGTAGTTATCAGTGCGTCTTGATTGCTTGTTTGATCACTTTCAGACGGCATAATTTGGTAAAAATCTTTAATTTCTTCATCTTTGGCCTTCGTGGTTGGTTTTTGTAAATTTGAATAATGTATTTACTGGTCTTCCTTGTAGGCGTATGGATATTGTCCTATCACTGACAGTATTGTACTTCAGGATAGATCTTGAAATGTTCTTTTTGACGATGAATGAAACACAATTTCACTTCAATTTGTCATTCTCCTGGCAGAGTAGACCTTGTGATTGTCCAATTTAGAACGGCCAAAACCCGTCCATTTCAGCTCACTAATGTCTAGGGTGTCGATGTTTATGCGTTCCATTTCATTTTTGATGATTTCCAATATTCCTCGATTCATACTTCATACATTCCACATTCCAGTTATTAATGGATGTTTGCAGCTGTTTGTTCTCATTTTGAGTCTTGCCACATCAGGAAATGAAGGTCCTGAAAGCTTGACTCCATCCCCATCATTAGGGTCGACCCTACTTTGAGGAGACAGCTCTTCCCCAGTCATATTTTGAGTGCCTTCCAACCTGAAGGGCTCATCTTCCAGCGCTATGTAAGACAATGTTCTGCTACTATTCATAAGGTTTTCACTGGCTAATTCCTTTCAGAAGTGGACTGCTGGGCCCTTTTTCCTAGTCTGTCTTAGTCTGGAGGCTCAGCTGCAATCTGTCTGCCATGGGTGACCCTGCTGGTGTTTGAAATACCAGTGGCAGAGCTTCTGGCATCACGGCAACCTGCACACCCCACAGTATGATGAACTGACAGACACATGGGGCTCAGTTAGAGACCTGCTGTTAATGTAATAGTTAGAAGTTGGGAGGCTTAGGACAGTGGGAAGAAATCGCACATAATTTCTCACCTGCCAGTGTAGCCTTTTGAATTTCAGGTCGTATTGGCTGATCGAGGTTTTATTATACCTCTTCTGGTTTACGGTATTATACCTTCTTCCTATCCCTCCTCCTTGCAGCCAGAAATGTTTTTATAATCAGTATGTTTTTATATAATTACTGTGTCCGTACCTACACGGCTGATACGGGACACCCTGAATGATGTGCTCTGAAATTCTAGTAAGTAAAATTCAGTTGCTTTATTTCAAGATTTGAAGGCCACATAGAGATCTGCCCACCAGGCATGAGTCATTCAGCTTGTTTGGTCAATAAGAGTGTTCTAGAAGCCATCAGAGGAAGACTTCGATCTTTTCATGAACTCCTGCTTGAGCCACCCAAGGTAGGTCTGCTGTCGTATATATTACCTAAATCGATGAATGGGGTAGAATTAAAATTAAGGAAAACATTCAGCTGCTTAGGAAACTCAGCTTTTTGTTCTTTTCTCTATAAATTCTCAGGCACTTAGACGTGGTAGGAAAAGAGACATTGTCTTCTCCTAGCATGTTCTTTTCACATCTTTGAGGTAAAGTTACTTTCAAGAACTGATCTTTGAAGTTGAGTTTTCCTGTTCACAATTGGAGCAACACAACAGTCCATTGGACAGATCCCTTGTTTAAGGAAGGAAAGGTTGAAGTTGTAGTGTACAGCATGTGAAGAATAGGACTTGGGGTGTTTGGTTTTTGGTGGCGTGCATTCATGTGCTAACAACACAGTGAAGACCTAGAAGAGAGGGGTGTCTGTAGTCTATAAGTCATATGCTTCCTTACTTAAGCCCCACACCCCTGGGGTTGGCGCAGAAATTTCCATTGGGGTAGGATGCATTTTGTTTGGAACCCACAGGATAGAAGTCCCAGTTGGGTGAGGGTTCTGGTCCCAACTTCACTTCTTACCCCTCCTTTCCTTCCTGCCCTGTGTCGTTGGATGCAGGCCCTAACCACTGTAGTGCGGATCTCTGTGGCTGTCACTGGCTGAGGTGTTGGGAATCACAGCACTGGCTTTCCTCTTCTAGATCGTAGGTGTTTTCTGTTTATTAAGCCCTTTGGGGAGGGGGGAACACAGAATTACTTGAAAATATTCATAACCCAGGGAGCCCCACTCAGTCCCCAGGTAGTCTTTTAAGATGACTGACGGACCCGTGGCAGAGCGGTAGTTGTGCTTCTGCCCTTCGTGTACGTCCTCTTGTTGGGCTGACCTGCCACACTATCACCTCTGCGTTCATCCTGTGCAGTGTTAAGCACTCATCCTCAGGGAAGGTGCCTCTGTTGGTGTTTTACAATGACTGTCAGTGACACCCTTCATGCCAGACCTAACAAAAAGAAGAAGAAAATAAGGAAAGAAAAAGACTTGAGGGGACTAGGAGAGACGTTCACAGGTGGAAAGTGGAGGCAGGAAAAGAATCTGAGAAAGGAGCGATTTTGATGAAGCGTCTTGGATGGCCTCCCAGGCTCCTTTGTAGGTGGGAAGACAAGGCAGCGTCTAGTGTGGATCCTCGCACTTTTCTTCTTCCTCTTCCTGATTCGTAGATACGGCAGTGTCTCGTTTGGACTTTCTCTCTTTACCCCTGGGAGCGAGCGAGTTCAGTTTATACCTGATTTTACTCTAGAGTGTGGTGTGTAAGTACGCTTTTTATAAAGTCTGTTAATTAGAGCCATCCTGCCTGGCGTGAACCTGGGCCTTTAGCATCCCATTCAGCCTGGAGAGGAGAGGGCCAGGGTCACTCAGGTGCAGGGGGAGTGAGGGTGCTGATGGGGTGGGGTGTTCAGAAAGGGCAACCTAACTAGTAGCTTTTATCACTCTTTCCTGTCACACTACTGAACTTCTGAAACATTCCACTTCTGTCTTTTGTGCTTTAAAACTCCCTTTTATAGGCGAGAACGGGGTTTATGTTGATTGTATTTCAGCGTTGTGATCCAGAGGCAACTTCTGAGTTTGTGTTTTTATCAGAGATTTGGCCAAGATTGAGAACTGTGTTCCAGAACCACCTGTAACTTCCTTTAGTTCGTAAATTCCTGGTCATGTTTTGAAGTATTGTACGTATTTCTACAGCCTTCTATAACTCTCTGCTTTCTTCCTGTGCAGTTTGGGGTGTTGGGGCAAAGGGGAGACTTGATTTTTTTGTAAAACTTACAGTCCAGGGGATTCATTTAATTTCTCCTGCTTGGTTATTTTGCCACATCATCAGAAGCTGCTACAGATTTTCTTTCGGGTGTAGAATTCAGGCCAGTTTACTAGTGGTGTATCTTAACACATTTTTTGTTCGTTTAACCGGATTTAATTGGAAAGCTTTTTCTGCCTCAGAAAAGTGTGATGAAGACCACATGGGGCGTATTGGATCCTCCTGTGGGGAACACCCGACTGAACGTGATTAGGTTGATCTCCAGTCTGCTGCAGACAAATACCAGCAGCATCAATGGGGACCTTATTGAGCTGAATAGCATTGGAGTCATACTGGTAAGAGTTCTCCCTCACAGACGTTTTAATTTGCCCTCAGCATATTATTTTATAACTCAGATTACAGCCTCACACATTTACAGTAGGTGCAATGACTTCTTGGTCTGAGCGTAAATAGGCTTGTACAGGTAGTCCCCAACGTACAACAGGGTTCTGTTTTGACGACTCTCTCATAAGTTGGTTCTAATATAAGTCAAATACCTTTTTTTTTTTTTTTAGTTTTCATTACTATTGCCTTTTATTATCAGTATCTTTATAAATCTGATCTTTATTTGTCTTTTGGGGTTGGAAACATTATGTCTGAGAATAACATCAGCAGATTACACACTGTAACATTGTATGTGGTTCATATTACTAACAATAAGATGTACCAAAAACAGACGGTTGTAAGTGCGGTTCATTGTAACTCAAATACGTTGTAAGTCGACGATTATCTGTATATAGGTTTCGCCTTGAGCTTATGCATTTTGAATGCTTATAATTTTTCACTTAGGTTTCTCAAAATATCTGGTCACACCGTACATCTTGGGAGTTTTGGGGGTGTTTCAAAGGAAGGGCTTGGTATTTTCTCACTACCTGACAGACATTGTAAGGTGTACCTTATGTACATTTCTGATGTAATCCTGAAGATAAAACCCTGGGTGAGGGAGAGCATCTGTTCTTCAGATCAGGCTCAGAGAGGGGTACGTTCCATGGGTATTAAGTGGAGCCACAATTTGAATTCACACCCAATTTCAGGTCCACGCATGCTTTATCATCCGTACCGTTTCGCTGCCTAGTGTCACAGAAATATTTTTAGTTCTTATGTCTCATCCTTGGGTTTGATGACATCACGATAGAGTACATGGAGAGCAGGAACATTTTGGAGAGAGGTGAGACTTTAAAGGATTATAGTTTCCTTGGTAGCGTAATCATTGACTGTGGGGACAGCACTTTGCCCTGTATCTGACTGGCATACAAAACCCAGTACTGTCATTTCTGCCCTTCTCCCTGTCTCTGGGATTCTCCCCGAAGTGATCAGTTCATTACTAACATAGTCACCCATTGCTTACCGTCCACCATACATTCTGTGAATAGGATGTTATGTGATTTGGACGTTGTGCAGACACCACATTATATACAGGCGGTCCTTGGGTTATGTCCGACTTACGTACAACCAGTAGTTAGAAACCAACCCTGTAAAGCCTGTTATATTAAAAATTTGAGGTACATACAATGGTTCCTGATAACAAATGGGTGCTACTCTGTGACGCGCAGCAAAGCTGTATGGGGTACTGTAGTGTACCTGTATTGACTAAACAGCCAAGATACTGTCCCGTTCCCTGATCGTTGTTTCTGAACTACGTTATAACCTCATGGGACCGCGGATGTATATGACGCTGCCTAAGTGGACGTTATGTGGCACATGACTGTAATAGGCATACAAGTATTATTAATTTGTTCTATTGTTAATTTATAACACTGCTTTTACATGATAACAAATTTGCTAAAACTCCTAGATGGGCCGTTGATGTTGAGTCAGATAACCAGATTCAGTGATGTCCTGAATACACACTTCAACTGTGTGTTTTGTGCCTTTAGGAGCTGGCTTTCCCTTTTGTGATGCTGTTACCTTTTCATGTAATTTGGGAGCCCTTTGTGCTCCCAGGGGCCTCACACGTCACTGCCTGCCGCCTCACTTCTGTTTTGCTCCATTCAGCTGACAGTTGTGTGGGGGTTTGGATGCCTAGGTGGTGATTCTTGTGGGAATCATTGTTTTGTCTGTCTCCGTCTCCCATATTGCACCCAGCACAGTGCCCTGCACAGATGCCGTCAGTAAATATTTGTTGAATCAAAATGAAATTCTCATAAATTTCTTTGAAGATATTTGAAAATTTACTGAACTCAATATCTGCTTTCTTGCTTTGAAAACATTAAAAGATACTCCCTTTCTATTTGAGAAATTTACTATTGATTCTCTTTTCTTCATATGTGTATTGCTAGTGTCTTCCAGGTTCCATGAAAATTCCTGCATGCCAGATGAGCAACTGTCCTGTTATTTAGGTTATGAAGTGGTGTTTCAAACCTTTTAAATAAACTTATGTTCCTTTAAGTTAGTCCTGTTGGGCTGAGAACCCATTGTTTTTACTTTCATCATGTCATAAATCACTATTCTGTAAATGTATTAAAGTAGTGGTTTTTAAACCCTGAGTTAATACAGTGTTGTTTTCTTTTTTGTAGGACATGTTCTTCAAGTACACGTGGAATAACTTCTTGCACACACAGGTGGAGATTTGTGTAGCACTGATTCTTGCAAGTCCTTTTGAAAACACAGAAAATGGCACACTTACTGATCGAGACACGACGGGTGACAATTTGTTACTGAAACACGTAAGCTTATTCAGGCCCTTCTTTCTTCCCCTCTCTCCATCCCCGTGGGAAATGAATTGAGGTTTAAATAAAAGCATGAGGTTAGATTTCGGGAGTCTAAATATTTAACTGTCATGTTTTCATTGAACTTTTTGCCAGTGATTCTGCAACCATTAAATGAGCTGCCTCTTAAGAAAATCAGTCGATTTGAAGATTTGTAGGTTGAGATTCCGGTGCTGACTGCATGTCTGAGAGTCAGGAGAGGTGCGGTCTGGGCAGTGCTGAGTGAGCCCTTGGTGGGGGCCTGTTTTCTGTCAAGTGTGGGATTATTTTACTAAGAGAGTCTCCGGGTCCTTCTCGGTCTGAGGTAGTTTACTCCCACGCCAGGACGATAGGAAAGGCTGGCCTGGGGTGGCCAGGTGTGAGGGGATGATGAAGGACACCCGAGTAAAACGGGCTGCACGCCCATCCCCTGTTGTGGCCCCAGCAGTTGTCCATGGCTTGCAGAACCTTGGCAGGACACAGCTGCTTACACTTCAGAAGGTTGAGTATCGCTGTGGAGTCCTCAGTTAATTTTTTAGTTTTTTGCCAGGGCAGAATTTTCTTTATTCCATCGTGATTTTGGTCAGGTGCTGGGCCTCATTTTTAGGGCGAATAAAACCAGGCTTTGCTTTAGGTCAGCTGCTCGCTGTGGTGGTACGTCTAACATTGTAGTTTCCCACTAGATGTGCTACTAAAGCAGGGGGTCCTGTTTGGAATCCCTGCAGTGTTCTGGGGCCTTGGGTAAGTATGTCATCACCTTGCGTTTGGGTTGCCAGTCATTCACAGCTGTTTTTAGGTTACCAGATTATGCATGCCACTATTCTGTTTAACTCGAGTTCTATTTCATTTGAAAGTTTTGACACTTTGACATTTATACAAATGTTAACTAGAATGTCCTTTTTTATTCAGCTTTTTCAAAAATGTCAGTTAATAGAACGAATACTTGAAGCCTGGGAGATGAATGAGAAGAAACAGTAAGTAAATTGTTTTCCATTAGGAATTCAGTTTGACTTAGAATTTGGTGGGGGGGACCCCTCCCCCTCCTGTGCGCTTGCTTGGTAAAGTAGGGGATTAGCGAAAAAAGAGGAACACCCTCAACAAGATGCATTGACACAGTGACTGTATCAACAGGTTATGAATGTCAGACTTCACCTTGCCTTTTAATGTTATGTAAATTTGCCCTCACTTTGAAACAATTGAAAGGCAAGGTGAAGTTATCCATAAGTCTGACGTATCCAGGTGTGTGAACACCACCACAATCAAAACGTAGAACATTTCCATCACCCCCAGAAAGTTGTCCCATGCCCCTCTGTGGTGGATGCCCCCCACTCCGGGGGCTTTCTTGCCCTGGTTGTCTCTGCTCAGACTCATCTCTTGGCTCCCAGGAGAGCTAGGTCACTCAAGGCAGGGGTCAGCTTTGTGAAGTTCAGTTTTTTTCCAAATCGCTTAATAAACTGATAAAGCCTTGGTTTAACTGTGTGGGACATTGGATGTTCCTTTTGTGCCACAGAGCAGAGGGCACGTGTAATAGACCTCTGATGTGCTCTTTCAGATGGCTCTTTGGGGGTGCTGTGCGTGCCTAGACCAACCCCTCTGCTTATGTGTTTCACCTGCCTCAGCCCCTTTGTGCCCTCCCTGATCTCCCCTCCTGCTTCTTCCATCAGCCAGAGCTGAGGGGCCCCATAGTAGAGTGTACTCTGCTCTCCCCATGAGCTCCTTCTCTGAAGGCATGGCTAACAGGCCCCCATCTGGAGGGTCCTGAACCAGCATTTCTGAAGTTTCTTTAAACCGGAAGCCTTAAAGACAGGTTGGTTATTTTTGGTTTGACCCCTTGCTGATAATTTGCCTTTCCACCCCAGATACAAGGCATGAGAATCTACAGTTTAACAAGATCCCCAGGTGATTCTTCTGTATAGGTTTGAAGCCCAGCTTAAAGAACATTGAAGCCCTGGGCCAAAAAGACCTGCAGATGGGCCTTTGTTTTCACTTGTGGGCTTGAGGGAGCATTGAAGAACATCAACTAAGAAGTTCCCTATAGGAAATACCTGGGTTATTGTGATATCAGAAGAGACTCTAGCAACTCAGTTGAGATCAACCCTATGCCTCTGACTCTTAAGCAGGGCTTCAAACTGGTTCTTCCCGGTTCAGTCATGGCTGAGGAAGTGGCACCAGAACAGATGGGAATGTTTAAAATTTGAGACGACTGGAACAATAACAGGAACGGGAAAAATTACGGGTCAAAGCCCTGCTAGAAACTTAATCTCCCTGTTAGAAAACAGGGGCCGCCTACGCATTGTATAGCAATCAGACCTATTGCCCATCAGATTTTGAGTAGAATTGGAAACAGCAGTGCCCGGCTTAAAGCTGGCGGCTGACCTCAGAGACGGTGGTTGGCCACGCCCTACGCCCTTTTGAATGGGTGTTGCTCTCCACAGTCCTGGCGGTAATTCATTCTCACGCATCAGGCTCCTGAAAAGGCTCACTATGCCTCTTCCAAGTCTCCCATTCCAGGGCTTTGACCTGTAATTTTTCTCCGTTCGGGTTGTCAGTCCAGATCACCCAAATTTAAAAAATTCATGTGTGTTACTGATTTTACTTCAACAGCCATGACTGAGTCAGTTTGAACCAGTTCGAAGCCCTGCTCTTAGGTATCCCCAGATCCTCTAAGATTATCTAGCAGATGTTTTCTTTTCCAGGTGAGCGTCTAGCATAGTATGGATTTTTTTGTATTGGCTTCTGAAAGGTTCTCCTCCTTCTACGGAAGAATCTCTTCAGTTTGTTCCCTGCTACTTGCAATTAAAAGGCTTTCGTTTGATAGAATTCAAAGTCTTAACACTTGTAAATAGAGGAATCACAGTGATAGAGGAAAAATTTGTCTGAATGTAAAGGTTTCTCATCATTGGGAAGATAGACCTTGAAGGGGGAGAAGGGATGAGGGATAGGTTTATTACCTGTGTTCTAAGCAGTTTATGGAGAAGTAAAAGTTGTCTCCCTCTTTTTCTTGGCTAAATCCTCAAACCCACCAATATTTTAGCTTGAGAAATGCCATTGGTACTTAATTATCTCTATTAGTTAATTGATCTGATTAAAATTCGATGTCTTTTAGGGAAGTGAACCAGCAGGAGCCCTGGTGGCACAGTGGTTAAGAACTCGGCTGCTAACCAAAAGGTCAGCAGTTTGAATCCACCAGCCGCTCCTTGGAAACCCTCTGGGGCAGTTCTACTCTGTCCTGTAGGGTCGCTATGAGTCGGAATGGACTCGATGACGGGTTTGGTTTTATTTTTACCTGTAGGGAGCTACACTCTGATTAAAGTCTGAAAAATTGTTTTACAAAAAGATACAAAGGAAAGTACAGAAACATTAGGCATCAGTGAGTATTTTTTGTGGTCATTATTGTTTGAAAGATAATTTGTTGTTGAAGATTAATGATTCGGTTCATATAGAAGACTAAGATTTGGCCTGTTGGTTAAGGCTCCAATGTGATCCCCTCCCCCACCAACAAATTCTCCATGTTTAATTCTGTGATACAGTGTAATCTTTAAGTAGACCATTGGGACTTTCCTCCCCCTGTGCTGCCTGGGAATGTTCTGGCACCTCCATTCCTTCCTTTTCAGTGCCTGCAGTTTCAGAATGTTGTGTTAATATCCAGTATTTAGCCAACCATTTTGTCAGTCTGTCTGATGAGGAATCTGAACGTTGTCCTTTACCCCGTCAGGGCGGAGGGAGGACGGCGGCACGGGTACATGGGCCACTTGACGAGGATAGCCAACTGCGTCGTGCACAGCACTGACAAGGGCCCCAACAGCACCTCAGTGCAGCAGCTCATCAAAGGTGAGTTCTCGGGCTTCTCAGGAACCTTCTGTTGGATTAGAGAAAGGATGTGAGAGTAAATTGGAAATAACTCGGAGCATTTTAAGTAGCTATTTGTGGAATTTCTTTATATTACGCAGATTATCTGGAGCCTGAATGAGAGTCTTGAGAATCTGTTTGAACAGTGTAGTTCTTTGCTGTATCTCTGCTCTTACTTCTATCATTCTTTCAGTGAATATCAACAAGCGTGGCCAAGTTCAGTACGCTAGAGTCACACAGTTTCATTCTCAGAAGCATTTCTCAGTAGATCATTCTTCGGGGGATTTTGAACTTGAAGTGCTGGCTATGCTGCCGTTTGAGTCACTTGAGCTATGATTATTCTTTTAATTTTCTTCTGAAGACCCTGTGTCTGTGGATTAAGCTCCTCTAACATGGATATTTGGCACTTAGCAGCACTTTTCCCTGTCTCCATCACCAAAATGAGGGGCATAGCTCTTAAGGGCTGGGTCTGGGCTGCGATGTAATCGTCTAAGGCTACTTGGAAGACATTGTGGCCCCCAGGCCACGAGCCCATCTCTTCCGAAACAGTAGCACTAAGAGCCCCATGTACTCTGGGTCCTTGTGCCGCAGGGGACGGCCAGTCCTGTGACTTACCCTGAGTGGGAACCGTCTCTAACACATCTGTGCAGAGTTCCTCAGTTAACTGGCTCAGAACCACTTCGCAGTGTATCCTCCTTCTGTTTATCTTTTAAAAGCGTTTGTGTGTAAATGAGGCTGTTACCTGTTGCGCTCACAGCGTATTGCCCCCCAGTGATGGAAAAATCGGGCTTGCCTGGAATTTTGCCTCTTGAAAGATGGGTACACCTGATCACCAGTTTACCTTTGTCCTTACCATGCGATGTGACTAAGTTTTTAAAATCAGTCTTTCTTTTCTGGAATTTATGGAGCCCTATGGTTAAGTGTTCAGTTGCTAACCAAAAGGTTGGCAGTTCTAGTCCACCAGCCGCTCCTTAGAAACCCTGTGGGGCAGTTCTACTCTGTCCTGTAGGGTCACTGTGAGTCAGAATTGACTTGATGGCAATGGGTTTTTTTTTTGTTTTTTTTTTAAATGGAATTTGTTTGCGCTGTGTGTGTAAACCAGAATTGTCAGATGACAAGTTTATTCTAGTAAAGCCTCCAAAATTACAGCTGCACTTTCACTTTCTCAGAAAAATTCTTGTGTGCCCTTTTCTTTAAAATGTCTGTAGAAGGTAGAGTTACTATTGCGTACGTGTCCACATGTCAGCCTGTGACGCAGATGTTTAGGAGCTGGTATCTTGGAGCAGTTTGGGAAGCCAAACTAGAACATTCACCGCCAGTCTGTCTGCAGCATTTCCTAACCTTAACACAGACAGTGATGGTTGGCCCCCACCTTGAAGACCTGTTACCTCAGATGAGCTCTTTGGAAACATGCACATTTTTCAGGTTAAGTGTCTCCCAAAAATGTTCTGAGAAACTCATGAAATCCACAGGGCTGCTTGTGGCTGTTGACATCCAGCTTAGACAGTTTGGGGGTCCTGGCTCCTGAGTCGTGGGGACTCGGTGTGAGAGGCTTTATACCCCTGTCCCTCCAGGAGCACGGGGCTGCCTCCCAGCTGCTTGCTGGGTCGGCAGGTTCACGTTGGTGAGCCAAGTGGGGAGGCCCACGCTGTATTTACCTGCTGACTCTGCTTGTCTCTGTTTAGGTCACTGTAGTGATAATGCTCTTTTCCTTTTCTCACTCTGAAGATCTTCCAGATGAAGTCAGGGAGCGATGGGAGACATTCTGCACAAGCTCCTTGGGAGAAACTAACAAGAGGAACACGGTAGATCTAGTAGGTTTTATAAGGTTATGTTTATATTCTTTCTGTGCTCTTAGCCTTTGCTTGTTTATTCAGAAAGATGTAAAAGATCTTCCATTTGGCCCAGTAGCTGTGGACCAAGGATCAATTCATGTCTGTTTACTAGCAAGAGAGGTCAGTATTCACAATATTCTTTCTAATTCATCTAGTCAGCTCCTAATTACGTGCCTGGGACAACAGTAGGATCCAAAGAAGCTGCCGATTTTGCCTTCACAGCGTGCTTAGTGTCATTTCCCACAATGTCCTGCTCCCTAAGCACCTCAGCGAAGCAGCCTGGCCTCTGTTGATGCGTTGGGTGTACTGCCTTACACCTCAGCTACCCTGGGTGCTTAAGGACCCTCAGTCATCCTTTGGATATTTCTAATGTTACTGAGTCAAGTTTACTCTCATTTTAGATAACTTAGCGGGAGAAAATTTTGTAAATGGTTTTGAAACCTCAGTTGTAAAATTTTTAACAGAATTAGGATGGTTAGCCGGGGAATAATGGCATTGATAATTATTTTTAAAAATTATATTGGACTTTGGAATGTATTTGTTGTTTGTTTTTTAACACATTAAGTTCGAAGGTAAGTATTGCTTTGTTTTTGCTTTTAGAGATGGGGACGAGCGTTTCCTGATAATCAGGGGTAGCCTTGACATAGACAGAAGTTTGTGCTTGACTCTGCATTGAAGTATTTGTGTCAGGCATTTCATTCTAAACTTGAAATTCATGGCTGCAGTCTTGAATGTCAGATGTACAATAACACCTCAGCTGTTAGGAATAAAGTATGTGGCAGTCTTATCTGTCCAGAACATGGCTGAGAAACAAGAAGGGAACAGAAAGGCCCTGGCTGCGCTGAGCAGGCTCTGGGTCCCCCTGTGCCACACTCCCTGAGGGGCCTGTCTCCTCTCCAGACTGCCTAACAAAGCCGCTTATCTTTTTCCAGATACTCAACAAATTGGCGGGGTAATGGCTTTTTAAGATGAGTATAATGGTAGAATTAGGGAGTCTTAGGAGTTGGAAGAATCATGAATTAAGAGATAACTATAAAAAGAGAGCAGTGTGGGGCTGTGTAGTTAAAATAGGTCTAATGGCCCTCAGTGTCTCAGCGTGTTCCAGCCCAACGGAGAAGCCAACGTTCATCGTGACAGTCCTGTTATGTAATGTCAGCTGGGTTAGATTCCAGGTATCACCAAACCTGAGAGCTGTGGATAATCAGGACTTTCTTGTAGAGTGGAATTGTCCTCTTCCTGTTAAATTAAGCCCTGTGATTTTAGAGGCCCTGTACAGATTCCTTGTTATGAATGCAGGCAGCATGATATCCTTTAAGGGATTTTTGTCTTCTTATTTAAAAGGGAGTATTTAGGAATACTAGTTCTGATTTGCTTGGGATATTTCTTTAATAACACCCAGTCACTCTCTGTGGTGCTGTCAGGAAATCTGCCCCATGATTGTGTGTAGATCCTCTGTATACCTGTGTGGAGGTGTGCGTGCACGCAGTGCGGGAGAAGTCTTTAGCCCCTTGTCAACATTTACACCTGTGCTCAAAGAAGGACCATTTCATAGGTTCTTTCATTCTAATTGGAAACCCTAGTTGTGTAGTGGTTAAGAGCTCCAGCTGCTAACCAAAAGGTCAGCAGTTCGAATCCAGCACGCGCTCCTTGGAAACCCTATGGGGCAGTTCTACTCTGTCCTTTAGGGTTGCTAGGAGTCAGAATCAACTCGACAGCAACAGGTTTCTTTTTTGGGTTCATTCTAATTAAAGTTCACTTCTCCTTCACCTGTGGCACTTCCCACCGTCACACTTGGGCTGCATAAGCAATCTGCAGGAAACGGAATAAGGAGAAGTTGAGGAAGAACATTCATCTCCTTGATGGTCTCAGACAGCACTCATTTCGGGAACCAGCAGTTAAGCGATGGGTTGCTGATTTCCTGCCCCCTCTCACCTAGATAGACTTGATTAGATGCACCGCTGAGACTTGGGGTGGCTCAGGTACCTCCCTGGAATCAGCTCAGGTATGTCTGCAGGGCTGGAATCGGCCCGTAGCTCTGCACCACGTGCTGAGTCAGTGCATTGCATGTTGCCCTGGCCCATTGTTCATAGTGACGACGCGTTCTTTATATACCGAACACTGACTTGTCTCTCTGGCTCTAGGCCCGAGGACTTACCCACTCATGTAGGATAAGCTGTGCCAGCTGCAGGCTCCCATCACCTCTCGTGCACCATTTTCAGTTAACTTCTGTCTGACAGATTTAGGGAGCCCTGGTGGTACAGTGGTTAAAAGCTACAACTGCTAACCAAAAGATTGGCAGTTCATATCCACCAGCCGCTCCTTGGAAACCCTGTGGGGCAGTTCTCCTCTGTCCTGTAGGGTTGCTATGAGTCTGAATCGACTCGACAGCAACGGGTTTGGTTTTTTTTGCTCTGGGATGTTTAAGGGCTTTAATCTTTGGACCCTATGATGCCAGTGTTTGTGGACATCGGATTCACATACTGCCTGTGTTTTTTAGCTGTGTTTGGAGTTTATCATGAGTAAAATTTGGTATGTTTTAACTACATCCAGAAACCTCAGTGTTTTGATTAGGCCCTCAAACTGTAAAAATTGGCAAGAATTGAGATAATGGAGGAAATGTTTTGTTCTGACTTTGGGAGGTAGAATCTGTCCTCTGTCTCCTCTCCGGTGGGAAAGTGTATTGTAAAGTGTATTGTAAAGCTGCTTTCCCATTCCTGATAAGAGTTTACAAAGGTCATGAGTGTGCACAGATGAACTGCCTGGAGATTCTGCAGGTCTGGGTGGAACCCGAGAGTTTGCAGTCCGCTCCCAGGTCGGGTAGATGCCGGCAGTCCCCTTTAGAAGCGAGGAGGAAGGGTCTACATTCTCCACGTTTCAGTCATACGGGCCTCAGAGGTTCATAGTCACGTCATGGTTGGGTTTTCCTTAGCAGCCTAATCAGCCAAAGAGAGGAAGATACCCATTTACTTTTTTCTATAACAGCAGTTACTAAAACTGAAACTTTATTACAAGAGAAAGTAATAGCTCAACCCTTTTTCACTGCAGCATCAAGCGTATACTTAGAATATGTCTAGCTAGGCAAGAGTGTTATTATATACATGTTACTTTTTAAAAAGTTAGAACTTTATTTCATTAAAAAGTATTTGCATGCTTTCTATGTGCCAGGCACTGAGGATGTAGAACTAAACAAGATTGGCAAAAATCCCTGCTTCATTGGGGCTTCCACTCCAATGAGGGATGACGGAGACGGGTAAACCTAGGAGTGTGCATCTGTGTATACGTGTGTGTATGCACACACACTTACACGTTAGATGGTAGGTCCAGTGGAGCACAAGCAGGGGAGGCAGTCAGGGAGTGTTTGGGGGAGTGTGCAGTGTTGAGTCAGGTGGCCTAGGAAGACCTCACTGACAAAGTAACATTTGTAGAGGCTTGAAGGATGCCAGGGAGGGAAGAACGAGGTGCAGAGGCCCCAGGTGGGGTCGTTCCTAATGTGCTGTCCAGTGTGACTGTAACAGCAAGCGAGGGAGGGGACGGTGTGACCTGTGGTCAGCGAGGCAGCAAAGGGCCAGATCTTTGGAGCTTTTTAGTCCACAATGAGCACTTCGGTCTCTGCTCCTAGTGAGATGGGAAGGCATTCAATTTTTAACTAAAAGGTGACGTAATTTGATGTATATTTTTATAAGATCACCAGGGTTGCTGGGTTGAGATTGACTGTAGGGGGCAAGAATTAGAAGCAAGGAGACGGGCTAGTTGCCTAATGCAACATTAATCCTGGTGAGGATAATGGTGGGTAGGGAGGTGAAGTAGACTTGGTGATAAGTGTTACGATTTTTGGTTATATTTTGAGAGTAGAATGAACAGATGTAGGTGGGATGAAAGAAACAAGGACGACTAAGGTTTTAGCCGAGGAAGTGGAAGAATGAAGATGGCGTTTATTGGGATGGAAATGTTTCCAAAGGAACGTGTTTGGAAGTGTAGATCAAGAATTCAATTTTGGATACATTTTGAGTGGTGAACTGGTGTGATTCTGATTAGCAAGTTTTCCCCCATGGATAAAGTCAGTGCTCTTAGTAATTTCAGACTGGGATGGTGTGGGAAGAGTTGAAATGACTGTCTCTCTTTAACATAATGGTAACGGCGTGTGTGCCTTGTGTTATTACAGTGATGCCTGTGAGAGCCGGAACTTGACGGGACTGCCTTGTTTTTCCGGGTCTCACAAGTTTTTCCGCCTTTGACAGTGTGCAGCTTTACCACTTTTCTGTTGCTCTTTTTATTGGAAGATATTTGTGTTTTCCTTCTCTGACAGGTTTCCACCTTACACAGGTTCTGGCTTTTGCAGGTTTTACTGTAAGAACAACTTGCTAAAACAGTAGTTTCTTTTTGGAGAAAAACATTGTTTTAAATACTTCACAGGATTGCTTTGAGATGCAGTTTAAGTAGAGTACGTAAAGGGGTCACAGTGTCTGGCACATAGTAGCTGCTTCACAAAAGTTAGTTTCCCCCTTATCTGTGATTAATGAGCTGATAAAATTTTATTTTGTAGGAAAAACTAAAGGTACAAATGAGAATATGTCATATCCTTTTTGAACGTGGATGTCGAGATGTGGTTAGGAGCTGCCGGCTCTTTTTTGTTTTCTCTTGTTTAATCCTCTGGCTTGCTCTCCGAGTTCTCTTCTGTCTCTGTGGCCCACCACGCGGCTGCACCCCTGAGATGCATGTGAGGCGAGCATGATGCTTACGTTGGCTTGCCAGCCAGGCAGCCTGGAGCTTCTCTAAATCCACTGCAGTAGGACCACTTGACCTGCTCTTAATTGCTGTCACCCCATAACATGCCAACTGCTATGACCAAGCAGTATTCCATGGCCTTGCTGCGTTCTGGTTGGGCTTTTCTGGAACGTCCTCCATCCTCACATCTTTCCCCAGGAATTCACTGAAGCTACTGTTGACTCAGGCAGGTTCTCTCACTGATCACATTCTACCTTTGATCTCATGAAGCCTGATTCAGAAGTAGAGTGTGAGTGCTGACTTTAGGAAGGATGAAGAGGGGCCCAGTTGGAAACATGGGTTTCTTAGAGTTTAATTTCACTTGGGCTCAGTACCAAAGATGTTCAGAACGCTGCAAGGCCATGAAGGGTCAGGAGATGAGGTATAGAGTGATCTAGTCCAGGCACTGATGCATTCAGAATTTCATAACCCCATGCAGACCTGTTTGTATTCACTTTGGGCTTCTTGGACCAGTGTTGGAATAACGTCACAAAGCAGACCGGACCAGTTTCTAATCCAGGCTGTTAGGTAACAGCTTCAAGAGTTGGCAGGTAATAACTACTCTCTGCCCAAAATACTTCTACAAAAAGTACAGTATAAATAACTCAGAAAATACAGAGGAAGTTACCCTCAGAAATATAATGCTTATTTTTAGAATTTCATAGACTGTTCATTTTCATCACTTGCTGTATGCAATTACTATTATTGGTTCTTTGCTTAATTACTTGCAAATCTCAATTTCTAGTGGTTAATACATTCCCCCTGGAATTGTGTGACATTTATGAATTAATAAATCATTTATCGTGAATTGGCGAGCAGTTGATATCTGTGTTTTTGCTTAATTCTGAGAGTTGGTTGTGAGTCTTCGGGGAGGAGGAAGGTACGTACTGAGGGGCAGAGTATGTTAAGTCTTTGTGAGCCGAGGACTGTTGTCTCAAGCCCTGTTTAGCCCTTGAGGACAATGCTTTCCTCAGTGTGGGCCGCAGAGGCAGGAATTTAAAGTGAAAATGGTTATATTTAAACCTGATCTCACTAGTGACTCACTAGTAACCCTTGGAAATTGCCAAGTTCTACTCTACAGGACCGGTTCCTCTCAAGGAAGCAGCTCAGGCCTCGTTTAGATGTAGTAAGGAAAGTTTCATCTGAGCCATTATTTCTTCCTTCCCCCTTTTAAACATTTAATTGGAGATAATTACCAGAATCATTTCCATGGGGTCCCTGCCCTCTTCCCTGACCTGTTTTTGGTGGCTTAGTAAGGAGCAGTGAGAAAACCGAAAATAGGCAGCAGGGCAGGTGAGCGCGCCGGAGGGCTGAGTGACGGGGATCCTCGAATCACGGGGTGGGATTCACGACTTAACTGTATCTTATTCTGTTTTTGTTTTTCTGTTGCGTACAGTGAGAAGAAAACTAAATGTGTTTTTTTTCCCATAAAAATGCTGATAAAAATGTCCAAAACGTCTCTGTTAAATAGTCTTTTACATCTTTATGCATATAGGTCACAACCTGCCATATTCATTCATCCAGTGATGATGAAATTGACTTTAAAGAAACGGGTTTCTCACAGGATTCTTCTTTGCAGCAAGTGAGTCATGCCTAAAGCTTTGCTTTCTGTTTTTATTTCGAATGCTTAGTCTAGTTGCCATTTATGAATCAACTTCAGAGTCAGGTTACGCCTAAGAATGTGATTTGAAACTACGTGTTAGTTAGGCAAAAGCATTTAAAATAGGAGGTGTTTCATACCTGATAAAAATGAGTCAGCTCAATTTTCAGGAGATTTGAATGAACTGAATAGTAAGTCATTTTGGGTTATGCCAACCTAGATTCATGTAGTAGAGATTTGTGGATTAGAATAATAAGACTTTTAAAATGTAAGTTAAGTATAACAAATATCCCTTGAGTCAGGTGACTTATTAAAATGATCCTTTCCCTGTAAGTATGCCTCCACTCTCTTTAAGCTCTGTTACCGTGACATCTAAATCAAGTGTTAGCTGAAGTAATTCACTGCCAGCCCTGCCCTCCTGCCCCTAAATTCACCTCCATGTATTGGCTGCTAGTAGCGGTTTGGGGGAAAGTACAGAGTATGAATAATAACTGACGTGGTATCCATCGGTGGTTCTTGGGGAGACAGATGAGTTCACCATCCCACTTGGGATCACCATCACACTTGGGAGCTGAAAATTGAAGCCCCTTTGAAAGTCTTCAGCGATTGGAATGCGGAAGCTTCCTTAGTTCTCAGGACCAGACGCTCTTGGCATGCACAGTGCATTGGTGTGGCCAGAGAGTGGGTGTAGACACCTCCCCACTGGGCACTGAGCGTGGCTTGGCTGCTTTTTCTCAGTCTCTAAGCCTCATCTTTTACAAGGGCCAGGATGGAGCTTTTGATGACTGTGCTGGCCCTGTCTTGTGGCTTCTAAGTAAGCATGCCTGCCTTCAGTCTGGGGAGGCTGGGTGAAGCAGTTGCTTGGTTTGGGTATGAAGGCCATTCACATCCACATTGCCCAGATAGGTCTGCCGTAGCCTTTCAGCACTTGGCTGGCTTCTCTGTTGATTCCTGTACTTGCGACTGCTGCCCTTTGGAAGCCAGCCCCCTGCGGTCAGGGTCAGGGAGAGCCAGCTCACAGGGGGGCCGTTGAGAGCAATGGTGCCTCCTTGCAGAGTGCAGCACCCCTCAGTGCCACCCGGCTGCCCACCCCAGCCTGTTATGGCCTCTGAGGACTACCGGCAGTCCCTTCTTGGCCCTGAACTCTGGTGTTGCCCCAGGAGGCACCCGGACTGCAGCCTGCTTCTCACTGCAGCACTTTGAGGTGCCGACATGGTCTACCCCGCCTGTCAGGAACCTCCACCGCGTGGATGTCCCTGAAAATTACCAAGGTGATTCTGTGCCTGTTGTAATGTCGCTTTCAGAAAAAGAATGCCCTAAGCGACTGTTCATAGATACGCTGTTGAGTTCATCTAGATGTGGTTACATTTAGGCCTCTGGAAAGTGGATCCCCTTACTTCTCATGATATCTGCTTCTGGGGAGAATTTTCTTAAAAACTCTTCAGTGTGATTGATTTCTGATGTGTCTGTAAAGCAATCCCAGCCACGAAACTGCTTCACTCCCACCTGCTCCCAGCTCTTGCCTCTGCTTTTACCTGCTTCCTGGAGGCCGCGGAGAGGACAGTATACCTGATAACTGCTCATTTCTAACTGACACACTTCCAACGACCTTTTCTTCGTACGTGTAAACTATAAACCAGTCGTGGATCATTCTCGAAGCAAGTCACGTTTACATAATACTATTAGAAATAGACTCTAAAGCACTTTTAACCTAGACTACACGCCTAGGTCAGTTTTAAGAGGTTCATGCGGCTGTCCAGCACTAGGTTACACGTCTAGGTTCTCATTCAGCCCTCATGTTGGGAAAGGCCCCACATGAAGAGAGCCCAGGGCAGGTCATTTAACGAGGTGACTTCATGCGTCACAGGTTTCATGCCCCTGCCCCAGCCCTTGTGGTTTCATAATGGCTGGTGTTTGATTCCCTTTCCCCTCATTCTGCCCGGCAGAGGTGGAGGGGAGGAGGCTGGCATCTGGAGACGTGAGGTTGGGCTGAAAGTACCAGTGTGATGCCTCCCTCTTGCCATGATGCAGGCCTGTGGACAGAGTCAGAACACATGAAGTTGACTAGTAGCTTCTCTTGCCCAGGTGGCACTGCCAAAGAGATGGACTAAGTAAAGTGGCCGGCTTACTTCTCAGTGACCTGAGTTTGGCCAGGCGAGAGTACTGGGAAGGGCTTGAAGTTCTTGATCTGTCACAGCCATGCGGTGCTTCCCGGCTTTGAGTGTCAGCGTCCCAACCACTTCTCACACACTTTTTCATCAGATAGAGTGCAATCTTCACTTACATGGGTTTAGTAAACCTTGATAGCTTTATTGATAAAGATCCCGTTTAAACCTGAGGTTGTTTGCTAGTTTCCTAGAAGCTATGATGGACTTAGAACTAATGAGAGTTAGTTTATTGTTTTTTCCCCCTACATTATTAAACACAGGTGACCTGTGTCTGTCAGTTGATTGCTTATATATATCAATAGATACATAGAATACAAATGTGTGTGTGTGTGTGTGTGTGTGTGTGTGTACACACTGAAACAGAATGCAGTGGATTTAGTATTTACATTCTGTTTGTGAAGCATTTAAAATACAGGAGCACCTTTGGAAACATTTCTCCCCTTCTACACCCAAATGATTCAAACCGTGATCTCTAGAGGTACAAGAAAGATGAGGGGGTGGGGAGAAGCAAACAGAACAATTGGGGACCTTCTCGTTTGTGGGAGGAAGACCAAATCTGTAAATAAACTTGGAGCCCGGCTTATGCTGTTTGCTCAAAAGAATATCTTCTTGATTCTTTACATCTTTGAAGTCCCAAGCATCTGGTTTTGCTTACAAAGATAAAGCTAAAATTCAGTTTATTTTTGAGTTAATGAATATGAATGCTATCTATCCTATTTTCCATTCATGTATCCAGACTCAGCCCACCCTCCCAGAGCTTGTCCCCACCCTTCTGCTCACAGCCTGTGCAGCTGTATTGTGGCCGTCCCACCACCAGCGGAGTACCAGCCCCGCATACGCAGACATCATCCTCTCTGGGGCAGCAGGGGGCAGCGGGAAAGTGAGGGAGAGAGAGAATGGGGCCCCATTGTCTTGAAATAGAGAGAAGTGAGGTTGTAGGTTCTCAGGAAAAGATGCCTTCCAAAGCCAAATATAAGGTTTATTTTTTAATTATCTGCAGTTTGGATTATCCATGCCATAATTCCCTACCACCAGAGTGAGCAACCTGAAATTAACAGTATAAACATTGCTGCAGCGCACGTGCGTAGGGCAAGACTTGAGGGCTCAGTTCAGGTGTCAAGTACAAGGACGGTCAGTCTGGCTCAGTCATAGCACTGCCCAGCAGTGGGCCTCAGCAGGGACGTGTTCAGGCGCTTCCCCGTGTGCGTGGTCGCCTGTGGGACAGCTACCACCTCACACAGCCCACCCATGGGGCACCACCACATTATCACTGGTCTCTGTGCACATACATTCTCTGGGTAGAATGAGGAGGGGCGCTTGCTTGTCTCCATACATTCTGGTTATCACGGAGGAGCACACTTCGCTGACCTCGCTTGGCCTCTGGGCCTGGTGGCTGGTGCTTCAGTTAGATGTCAACATTTTTGTGGAGTCCGTTATAGCCTTCCCCCATTTCCTAACTAAGAAGGGCCAAGTGGGCCTGGTGCTCTCAGGAAATGCTGAGAGGACTGGAAGCGCCCTCGCTGGCCCCTTCCAGAGTGATGCAGAGAGTGTTAGCACTCTGTCCTCGCTGAGGTAGGTAGGGTAGGAGCTGCTTCAGTTTTATGCCCTTCCCATCCTCTGAGGCCTAAGTGGTTCTGAGACAACCAGGTGTCCCTGGAGCTCTGTTGGTAGGATTGTGATTGTGGTCACCAGTCACTTTCCTCCGTGCTGTTTGCATGGTGGGTGGAGGGTGGGGGAGATGGCATTGAGGGCGAGGTGGTTCCTACTTGTTGGCTCTTAGGATAAGGTTGGTTGTGTAGAGCTGACTGAGTCACCTGATAATTTCAGACTGTCACCTGTCACTTGGTCACCTCTTCGAACTAGACGATACCGAAACCCCTCTCTAAAGACAATGTGTAACAGATGACAGAGTGGTCACTCCACATTTCTTCCAGTGACATGTACATTAGAACAGCTTGTGGACCACATTTTAAATGTTTTCCTTTTTTGGCAATTTGTGTCTGAAATTATTTGATTTTATTTTTAGAAAAACACACCAACTTTTTAGGCTCTGTGGGTATATAAATAAAATGATTTCTGGAAGAGAAATGGGCAAATAGTGTGTAGAATGTCATTAGAATCATTATATCACTGTCACTGGTCCTGGGGTGGCCAGGCCTTTTCTGATTATCAGATGCAACAAATGACGTCCAATTTTATTGACCAGTTTGGCTTCAACGATGAGAAGTTTGCAGATCAAGATGACATTGGCAAGTGAGTATACGTTTCTGTTTTCATGACTGTCTGGTACACTCCTGTTCTTTGTGAGACATTGTTTGATTCTGCTGGATTCTGGGAACTCGTTAGCATTCCGAGGTGGGAGGGAGGAACCGGCCCTCCGCGGTGTTCCTTTAGCTCCAGTGGTTCCAGCCCTGAAGCACCAAAGGACAGTTAGGAACTAGACTCTCACTCCAGAGAATACACACTGGCCTTCAAGCTGATGTCTTTGAAAGAGGTTGATTTTTAGTAAACTTCCTTTAGGAACTCAGGTCGTTGTTTTACTATTCTAGGTCTTAATGTTAGGCAGCATTCCCTAAAGTGATTAACCCCCGTTGTTAGCTAACTGATTTGAGGCATGTTGATTTCTAGCACACAAAACAAACACCTGTTGCCGGCGTCAGTTCCCACTCATAGCGACCATGTAGGACAGAGTAGAACTGCCCCATAGGGTTTCCTGGGAGCGGCTGGTGGGTCCGGACTGCTGACTTTTTGTTTAGCAGCCGAGTTAACTCTGCCACCAGGGCTCCACAAGGGGGCGTTACGTTACCACCCAGACCTGGCTGCATAATTTCTTCTGACAACAGTGGCGAGAACAGCCTTGCCTCTGTGTGATTGACTATAAGATTTGTTTTTTTTTTGTTTTTTTTTTTTTTTGCAAGAGCCAGACAGTCGAATCATTCATTCTGCTATCAGGCTAAGAGAAACTGAGAAACAGAAATTACTGGTGCCATACAAAATTAGAGGAGCACTGGTGGTGCAGTGGTTAAGCACCCAGCTGCTAACTGAAAGGTCAATGGTTCGAACCCACCAGCAGGAGAAAGATGTGGCAGTCTGCTTCCGTAAAGATGACAGCCTTGGAAACCCTATGGGGCAGTTCTACCCTGTCTGATAGGGTCGTTGTGAGTCAGAATGCACTCGATAGCAACGGGATGGGTGGGTACAAAGTTAATGAACAGAAGATGTGTAGGTGATCCCCAGAAGTGAAAACAAACGGTTCAGCAGCTGACCTGGGGCAATGAGATGCTTATAAACAAAGTATTTTTTGAAAGGGCTATTACAGCTCATTGAGGAGAGTTTAAGAAGTTCAGACGATTGCTCTCGCAAGGGACTTGCCGGCTTTGCCCGTGAGCACCGGGACCTGGGCTCTGCTGCGCTGCCTTGCCAGCAGTGGGCGCTCAGGGCTTGGTGGAGTGCCAGCCGGTGGTGGCTGTTGCTTGCCACCAAGCGCAGTTTGTAGTATGACAGAAAGCTGAAGTACTTCAGGCACACTCCAGTCGTGCCAGACAACATGGTGTGTTGCACAGTGGAACAGAGGGTCGAAGGCTGCCATTCCCACTGGCCTTCAGAAGTGACTCATTTAATCTGAAAAGAGCAAGAGCACTCCACAAGGGAGTTGTCCTTTATCCCAGGAGCGTTCTGCACAGAGCTGGATTCGCCGCATCGTACCGGATCAGGTTCCCCACGTGGCATCTCGGCCTTGGCCTGTCGGGAGCCTCACTAAAAGTCACTAGTTAGGGATCCATGATCTCTTTAAAGTTTGTATGGGGTGCTTGGGATAATGACTGATGAGAATGAATCTTTTAAGAAGTGTAAGATAGCCCTGTCTACTCAACTTGTGGTTGATAGCCTGTGAATTCTTTCACTCCCTGCTTTCTTCCTGGGTGATGCCATATCCTAAGATTTCAGAGGTGTCTGGGTATTTTGTGCACAGTTTGGCTGTACTTGGAGAAGGTGCTGTGCCTGAGAACTTCTGTGTGCTTTTTTATGTTTTCACTTGTTTCTTCTTTGGGTATATTAGTATGATCCATGGAACAGTGGATGTTAAAAATCTCTTCTAGGAAAGCTTCTTAAGGCTTCCAGCCTAGGCTTCCCATCCTAATACCAAGGGAGGAGGCATAATTGAATGCAAGCAACTTCTTGGTTTTTGTTTGTTTGTGGGCATTTTAATGATAGTCTGACTATTCTAAACATGGAAAATGTCGTGAACACTGTGAGTTTGTGGGTAATTAACTACTCCTACCCTTGTATTTTCTTGACAGTGTTTCTTTTGATCGAGTATCAGACATCAACTTCACTCTGAATACAAACGAAAGTGTAAGTATGAGCATTTCCTGTCATGAGCAGCGGGCACAGAGAGGTGGAGGCGTGGGTGCCGTGTGCACTGGGACCGTCCAGCTCGCGGGGAGCTTTCCTCTTAGATGGCTGCTCACACTCGCTCGGTTACCTGCCTGGCCCCTGTGGACACGTTGAGCTTGCAGCCCTGCTGTAAGACGTGGCAGGGCCAGTGAAGCCAGGGTCGCTTGTGATCGCAGTGTAGACATTTCACCTCAGAGAGAGGACTGCTGTTGAGCTAGCTGTGTGTCACCACGAGAGAAACTGGGGCTAGAGCAGGGCACGCCTCTCACCGGCGGACGGTGCTCCTAGAGCAGGGCGCGCCTCTCACCGGCGGACGGTGCTCCTAGGGCAGGGCGCGCCTCTCACCGGCGGACGGTGCTCCTAGGGCAGTAGGGCAGGGCGCGCCTCTCGCCGGCGGACGGTGCTCCTAGGGCAGTAGGGCAGGGCACGCCTCTCGCCGGCGGACGGTGCTCCTGAAGCCAGCTCGGTTCGCAGTGTCTTCACCTCAGCTGACATTGGCTTGCTGGCGTTTGAATGGGCACAGTCTTGGTTTTATGTTGATTGGCATGAGAGACTGCTGGTCCGTTTGCTAATGTGATAAAGTAGGAACCTCTGGTTGAGGCCGTTGGAGCCCATTACTACTTAGCCAGAAAGGTAGAAGTAGATGAAATATCGGTTGCTTTTCCTTGCTAGGACAGATCTCTGCCTGCATCTCAGGGGCATGGGGGCAGGGGATGACGTGGGGCTGGAATGACGATTTTACTAGATGCAACTGAGGGGACGAGGACTGCGCGGTCTGTGCTGCTTGTACGTGGGGTTGGGGTCTGGCCGTTAGAGGAACGTCGTGTTATTACTCTACAGAAGCTGCCGTTTTCCTTTGGTGTGTGTGAGGTGTATGTGATAGGCTCTGTTTTTTTAAGGGAAATAGAAAAATGAGGGTAAATGATAATGTGTAACAAACACTAAACATAAAACTGAGCTATTTCCTAGTGTAGTCAAAGTGTAGTTTACATTGTTAGCTTTTGGGAGAAAATGACTTGGTTTTAAATTTGTTTTGTTCTTTTTGTATCCCTCTTGTTTGTATTTAGGGAAATATTGCCTTGTTTGAAGCATGTTGTAAGGAAAGAATACAGCAGTTTGATGACGGTGGCTCGGACGAGGAAGATATCTGGGAGGAAAAGCACATTGCGTTTACCCCGGAATCCCAGAGACGGTCCAGGTGAAGGATGGTTTGTTACTGTAGTGCTTCTGCCCACACATCGTACCATCCCAGAACGTTTGACCCAGACACCGGTACTCACGTCATGATCAGAAACGCCCTCGGTCATTGATGTGCGTTGGCGTGAGCACTCCTGTCTGCAGCGGACAGGAGTATGTACAGGTCAGGGTTATCTGCTCAAAAGCACAGGCCACATTGAATATAGTGCCCGACATGTAACAACACGGTACCTTCTGAATGGGAAGTGATGCTGAGGATTGTAGTCCTGTAGGGCCTCCGAGTGAAGAAATGTCCGCTCCCAGGAATAACAGCAGCTGGCTTATGGGTTAGCTCTTTGAAAACACTAAACCTTTCCAAAAGGAGGGGAAAATTGTTTCTGAAAGTTAATCTACTTTGGAGAGATGGGGTCTTGTCAGTTGACACCCACCAGGATCAATCCAGTCTTTTTTTTTTTTTAAATCACTTTGTCACAGGAACCTAAATAAATTAGACTCCTATAAACAAACAGTTCTTGTTATCTGAATATTTATTATCAGAATCTTCATAGTTAGGAGAAGGATATTTGGGTAGCAACTGAACTTTTGTTTTTATTTCTTTATTTGAATGCTTAGTGTTTTCGCATGGCATAAAATTCATAAGGAACAAAACGGGTATGTAACTGAAAGTAAAAATCCCCGAACCCATTTTCCACCACCCAGTCCCTCTTGCTGGATAGAACCATCAGCATTCCCTGTTTTCTGCATGTGCAGTTGGGTTGTATCTCTTAGCAGTGCTTATTGCTGCAAGTTACAGCAGCCCCAGCAGTGTCTCAGCAAGGGTAGGTGTGTTTGTCTCAGGATCCAGAGCAAGGTCATCAGGGCCAGCTTCTTTCTTTCACTCCCACGCCGTCTGTGGTCTTTATCGCCGTACGAACACCAGGGTAGCTGCTGCAGCTCTGGGGCCAGGCAGCAAGGAGGAGACAGTTATCTTTCTTTGTGGTTACTGTTTTGTAAGATAAAGCCCCCATCCGACTCTTTTTCATCATCTACTATGAAATTGTGGTCCTCTTGCGGAGTGCATTCCCTAAGTGGCCATTGGCTAGTGCCATACGTCCTCTGGAGGTGGACTGCGTCACACTCGCAGCTGTGCAATGTGTCCTGGCAGGGAACCCAGAGTGGCGAGCACAGAGGATCAGTGTGGAGATCCAGCCAGTGTCCTGGACGACAGAAGGCGGTTCTTTTTATTCTTTTTAACAGTTCTGTTGAGGCATAATTGACATGTGATAAAACTGCATTTATTTAAGCTGTACAGTGTGATAAGTTTTGACCTAAGTATACACCCATGCAGCCATCATCCAAGTCAACATTGTGAGCGTATCCATCACCCCCAAGTTGCCTCATGCCCTTTTGTAATACCCACCCCTCCTGTCCCGCTGATCTGCTCTCTGTTCCTTTAGTTTGCTTTTTCTAGAGTTTTATGTAAACGAAATTGTGCGGTGTATACTCTTTTCTTGTTTACCTTCTTTCACTTAGCATAATTGTTTTGAGAGTCATTCATGTTGTGTCATGTATCAGTAGTTCATTCCTTTTCCTCACTGAGTGATAGTCCATTTAATGCAATACTGCACTTAGTTTATTCATTCACCTGGTGGTGGACGTTTGGGTCATTTCAGTTTGGGGCTGTACTATCGCTAGAAGGTAGACTGATAAGTTAAAGATGTGTACTATAAACTTTGAAGCAACCAGTAAAGTAATAAAACGAGGTATACTTCATAAGTCAACAAAAGAGATAAAAATCGGATCATTAAAATATAATTCAAAAGAAGGCAGTAAAGGAGAACTGGAAGAAATATTTGTCAAAGTTTGTCAGATTGGGTAAAAAGCAAGACCCAGCTGTATGCTGCCTGTGAGAAAGAGTTTAAATATAAAGACAAACAGGTGAAAAGGAGAAGGATGGAGAAGGATGGACCGCGCCAGCGCTGATCAGAAGGAGAGCTGGGAGTCTGTTCATATCCAGGTGGATTTCAGAGCAGAGGATAGAGAGGGTCCTTTCATAATGATAAGGGGTCAGTTCAGCAAGAGAACAGAACAGTTAGAAATGTCTACACACCTGATAACCAAACACAAACCGATTGCCGGTGAGTCGATTCTGACTCATAGTGACCTTATAGGACAGAGTCAACTGCCCCGTCGGGTTCCCGAGGGGCGGCTGGTGGATTCGAACTGCCAACCTTTTGGATAGCAGCTGATCTCTTAAGCACTGCGCCATCTTAAGCACTGCGCCACTAGGGCTCCACACCTAATAACCAACCCAAACCCACTGCCTTCGAGTCGATTCCGACTCATAGCAACCCCATAGGGTTTCCGAGGCTGTAAATCTACAGAAGCAGACTGCCACGTCTTTCTCACCTGGAGCCGCTGGTGGTTTAGAACTGCCGACCTTTAGGTTAGCAGTCGATCACTTTAGCCACTGTGCCACCAGGGCTCCATATACCTAATAACAGAGAGCTTCAAAATACATGGAGCAAAAACAGATAGAACAACAAAGAAAAATAGACAAGCCACAAGTATAGTTGGATATTTTAGGCCCCCCACCCCCATCACTGGTAAAACAATAGACAGAAATCAGTAAGGATATAGAACACTTGAACTGCACTATCAACCAACCTGACCTGCACATTTATAAATCACTCTTTCAAACAACAGCAAATATACATTGTTTTCAAGTGCACATGAAATATTTATCAAGATACACCATAGTCTGAGCCATAAAGTCTCAATAAATTCCAGAGTTTCAAGTCATACAAAGTATGTTCTTTGACCACCAAACCAAAAACCAAACCAGTTGTTGTTGAGTCAGTTGTGACTCAGCGACCCTATAGGACAGAGTAGAGCTACCCCATAGGGTTTCCAAGGAGCGGCTGATGGATTTGAACTGCTGACCTTTTGGTTAGTAGCCCAGCTCTTAACCGCTGCACCACCAGGGCTCTTCTTTGACCACAGTGGAATTAAAAATCTATAACAGATCTTGGAAAATCCCCAAGTATTTTGAAACTAAATAACAAATGAGTCAAGAAATCAAAGGGGAAATTAGACAGTATTTTGAATTGAAAGAAAATGAAAACATAGTTTATCAATAATAAGCATTCTTAAGGCAGTACTTTTAAAGGATCATTTTTATCACTAACTACCCTCTCAGCTAACCGAGAGGTTGGAAGTTTGAGTTCACCCAGCGGTGTCCCAGAAGAAAGGCGTAGTGATCTGCTTCTGAAAACATCAGCCATTGAAAACCCTGTGGAGCACAGTTCTGTTCTGACACTTGTGGGGTTGCCATGAGTTGGAATCCGACAGCGACTAGATGACGCGACCTGTGTTAGAAAAGGAAAAACATCTCAAATCACTGATCTCAGCTTCGACTTTAGGAAACTAGAAAAAGAGGAGCAAATTAGACCCAAGTAAGCAAAGCTGCCAAAATAATAAAGATCAGAGTCAATGTCAGTGAGATGGAAAACAGACAAACAGTAGAGAAAATCAGTGAAACCGAAAGTTGTTCTTTGAGAGGATCAGTAAGTTGATCAATGTTCAGCCCACGTGATCAAGGAAAAAAGAAGATGAAGATTACCAATATCAGGGATGAGAGAGGTGACATCACTACTATATAGATGATCAAAGGATAAAAAGGGAACATTACGAACAACTTTATGCCAGTATATTTGTCACCTTAGATTTTTTTTTCCCTTACAAAAACTTATACATACGTTGTTATGTGACTCTAATTGCTCTCCCTATACTGTGACAACACACTCCTCCTTTCCACCCCGGATTCCCCATGTCCATTCAACCAGCTCCTAACCCTCTCTGCCTTCCCATCTCACCTCTGGACAGAAGCTGCCCGTTTAGTCTCTTGTACTACTTGAGCTAGGAGGCACAATCCTCATGAGTATCACTTTATGTCCCATAGACCAGTCCAATCCCCATCTGAAGAGTTAGCCTTGGAAATTGTTTTAGTTCTGGGCTGATAGAGAATCCAGGGGCCATGCTTTCTGGGGTTCCTCCAGTCTTAGACCATTAAGTCTGGTCTTCTTACTAGAATTTGAGTTCTGCATCCCACCATTCTCCTGTTCTATCAGGGACTGTCCATTGTGTTCCCTATCAGGATGTTCATTGGTGGTAGCCGGGCACCATCTACTTCTTTTGGTCTCAGGCTGATGAAGTCTCTGGTTTATGTGGCCTTTTCTGTCTCTTGGGCTACTACTTTCCTTGTGTCTTTGGTGTTCTTCATTCTCCTTTACTCCAGGTGGTTGGGACCAACTGAGGCATCTTAGATGGCTGCTTGCTAGCTTTTAAGACCCCAGACGCCAGTCACCAAAGTAGGATGCAGAACATTTTCTTAATAAGCTTTGTTATGCCAGTTGACCTAGATGTCCCCTGAAAGCATGGTCCGACCCCTACCCCTGCTACTCTGTCCCTCAAAGTGTTTGATTGTATTTAGGAAACTTCTTAGCTTTGGTTTAGTCCAATTGTGCTGACTTCCCCTGTAGTGTGTGCTGTCCTTCCCTTTACCTAATATAATTCGTATCTACTGTCTGGTTGGTAAATAACCCTCACCCTCCCTCCCCACCCTTGTAACCATCAAAGAGTGTTTTCTTCTGTGTTTAAACCTTTTCTTGAGTTCCTTTAGATGATTCTTGAAAGACACAAACTACCAAAGCTCAGGCAAAAAGAAAGAAACTGAATAGCCATGTACTTGTTAAAGGTGAATTTTTAGCTTAACCCTCCCCCCCTCCCCCCGACACACACCCCCTTTAGGCCAGGTGACTTCATGGGTGAATTCTGTCCAACATTTCAGGAAAAAAAATTATACTAATTCTATACAAAAGCCTCCAGAAAATTGAAAAGGAGAGAGTATTTTGTATGAGGCCACATCATTGTAACCTGATACCAAAATCTGACAAAAATATTGTAAGAAAAGTGATCAGTAGCTCTCATGAACATAGATGCAAAAATTCCTTTAAAAGTGATAGCAAATCAAATGCAACTGTAGTGTATCATGAGCAAGTAGGGTTTATCACAGGAATGCAGAGTTGGTTTAACATTGGAAAGTAAATAAGCATGTGACCAAATCCAACGTTTATTCCTGATTAAAATAACTCTTAGCAAACTAGAAGTAGAAGGGAATTTCTTCATCATAATAAAAGGCATCCATAAGATATGTAAGGTGCCTGGGTAGCACAAACGGTTTGCGCTCAGCTGCTCACTGAAAGGTGGTTCGAGTCCACCTCGCAGCACACAGAAGAAGGGCCTGGTAGTCTGCTTGTATAAGATTATTGCCATTGAAAACCCTATGGGCAGTTCTGCTCTGACACACATGGAGTTGCCATGAGTCAGAATCGACTTGATGGCAACAGAAAAATAAAACACAGTTAGCATCATACTTAAAAGACTGAATGATTTTCCTCTAAGATCAGGAACAGGACAAGGATGTCTATTCTCACTGTTTCTTTTTAGTATTGTGCTAGAGGGTCTAGCCAGTGCAGTAAGTCAAGAAAAGGAAATGAAAAGCTTCCAGATTGAAAGGAAGAAGAAAAACTATTCTTACTACCTTTATTTGTAGACAACATGTTTGTTGATGTAGAAAATTTGCTGGATTTTACAAGAAAACTCTAAGAATAATGGCAAGATGCAGTAATTAAGACAGTGTAGTATTGGCAAATAAGAGGGATATAGATGAGTGGGACAGAATAGAGAATCCATCAGTAAACCTGCACACAGACACAAAACTGATCCTGGACAGGTGCAAAGGCAATCCAGTGGTGAAAGTGTGTTTTTTCAACAAATGGTGCTGGAACAATTGGACATTCATATGCAGAGGAATGAACTGTCAACCTATACCTCTTACCAAATACAGCATTAGCTCAAAATGGATCCAAGACTGAAATGTAAAACAAAGCTATAAAACTTCTAGAAAGGAAGGAGAGAATCTTTGTGACGTTGGGTTAAGCAAAGATTTCTTAGGTACACCACTAAAAACAGAATACATAAAAGAAATTTTTGGTAAGTTAGACTTCATCAAAATTAAAAACTTCTGCTCTTCCAAAGACAGTGTTAAGAGAATGAAAAGAGAAACCGCACCCACAGAGAAAGCTTTCAAATCATGTATCAGATAAAGCACTTGTATGTGGAATATATTAAAAACAACTCTCAAAATTCAGTAATAAGGAGAAAAGACAGCCCAGGTTTTTAAATGCACAGCAGATGTGAAAAGGCTTCAGAAAAGAAGATACATGATGGGCAGATAAGCACAAGAAAAGATGATCCACATCCTTGGTCGTTAGAGCAGTACAGATCAATACCGCGAGAGAGCACTGCACCCCGTTACACCGAGTGCCATCTGAGTCAGTTCTGACTCGTTGCGACCCCCTGTGAGTGAGAGCAGAACTGCAATCCATGGGGCTTTCAGTGGCTGAGTCTTCAGAATAGATCACCAGGCCTTTCTTCCCAGGCACCACTGGGTGGATTTGAACCACCAAAGTTTCCGTTAGTAGCCGACTGCTTAACCATTTATACCACTCAGCGATTCCACACCCCTATTAGAAAGCAGTTTTTTAGAGTGTGATCTACATCTTTAAGCAAAGCCCAGGTGGTAGAGCGGTTAATGGCTTATAGGAGGCGTGAGCAAACCATGGGCTGAATCTGGCCTGCCTCTGCTTAGGGGAATAGTATTGGAACAGTCATCCCTGCTCTTTTACAGTTTGCCTGTGTTTGCTTTTGCGCTACAACGGCAGAGTTGAGTAGTTACATATAGAACATATGGACCACAAAGCAAACATACTTACTATCTAGTCCTTTAGAAAGAGCCCTGGTGACGAAGTGGTTATGCACTCAGCTGCTACCTGAAAGGTTGATGGTTCAAACCCATCAGCCGCGTTGCAGGAGAAAGATGTGGCAGTCTGCTCTTGTAAAGATAGCAGGCTTTCCCCCAGACACGCTTTTAACTCAGTACTGAAGTCACTCCTGAGGTTCACCTTCAGCCAAAGGTTAGGTAGACCCATAAAACAAAACAAGACTAAGTGGTCACACCAGCCCAGGGGCAAGGACTAGAAGGCAGGAGAGGACAGGAAAGCTGGTTATCGGGAAGCCAAGGTTGAGAAAGGGAGAGTGTTGACACGTGGGGTCAATGTGTGTGTTAATTGTTTAATGAGAAACTAATTTGCTCGGTAAACTGTCATCTAAACACTATGGGGCAGTTCCTGTCTGTCCTATAAGGTCGCTGTGAGTTGGAATCTATTCAACAGCAATGGGTTTCTAGTCCTTCACAGAAAGTTTGCCAAGCTTTCCTAGACAGCCAGCTTCCCTTCACTTAGTCTCTCAACTGCAGTCTGAGATTTTTGGGGACCAACATGCACAAATCTCCATTTCTGCTGAATGAGAAGAGATTGCAATACCAGAGCATACCAGATGTGTCTGTGTCACCCATCCCAGTCTACGGGACAGACCTCCTGTTGATAAAGATATCAATTTCTGTGCTGGTGTCAGGCAGCATACAATCATACATATGGTTTACCCAGTACCATCAAGTCAATTCCGACTTGTAGTGACCCTATAGGACAGAGTAGAACTGCCCCATAGGGTTTCTAGGGCTGCAGTTCTTAGGGAAGTAGACTGCCACATGTTTCTCCTGCGGAGTGGCTGGTGGGTTCCAACCACTGACCTTTTGGTTAACAGCCAAGGGCTTTAACCACTGTGCCACCAGGGCTCCTTATATATATATACACACACGTATAGCAGAATCTTTCCCAAATCTTAACAAAATGGCACTCAGGTGTATACGATCCAGTTGTAGTACAGTGTTTTGTTTTTTTTTGTTGTGTGACCTTTAGAATTTTCTGGGTTTGGCTGATATATAGCATTAAATATTTTGGTCTTTTTTGTTTTCAGCTCAGGGAGTACAGACAGTGAGGAAAGTACAGACTCTGAAGAAGAAGACGGAGCAAAACAAGACTTGTTTGAATCTCGTGGCGCCAATGCGGAGGATAAAATGGAGGTAGACTTGAATGAACGTAAGTGCCTTCTCCGTTTTGTGTGCTGTGTGTTGGGATTAGATGTTTTGAAAAGCAGACGCACAGCTCTGTGGTGACTTCTGAAGGGAGAGGAAGCTGAAACACATGTTGTGGTTTGGGCCTTGCATGCGAAAGTGAGACCATGAAACACCAGAGAAGAATTGACGCGTCCAGGTCGTGGTGTTGGCACAGAACATCGACTCCCACGGACTGCCAGAAGAACGACTGAGTCTGTCTCGGAAGAAGAAGCAAGGATGGCAAGACTTCGTCTCACATGTTATCAGGAGGAACCCATCCCTGGAGAAGGACATCATGCTTGGTAAAGTAGAGGGTCAGTGAAAAAGAGGAAGACCCTCAACGAGATGGACTGACTCAGTGGCTGCAACAGTGGGCTCAGGCATAACAACGATTGTGAAGATGGCTCAGGACCTGGCAGTGTTTCGTTCTGTTGTACATGGGGCAGCTATGAGTCGGAACTGACTCGACGGCACCTAACTGCAACTGGAGGTCTAAGTTTTGAGGACCAGACCTCAGGGAAGGAACAAAGTATGCCTTTGGAGATAGGGCATTGCTTTACTGTATGAAAACTCGGTGTGAGTCTGGCTCCAGGACACAGCGCGCTGGTGGGTGGATCCTCTGGCTGCAGGCGACAGGGTGCTGTGGCGGGGAGAGCACATACTGTGGACAGATGAGGAGACGTGCTTCATAGAGTCATGAATGGAATAAACAGAGGAAACACCGTAAAGCTTAAGCAGCTCTCAGTGGGTTCTTCATAGCTTATTTATGAAACTTGGAGCCCTAAAACGTGCCTAGCTAAGTGCTGATTTATACCCTGCTGCTTGCTGAGAAGACTCAAGTTAGCTGGCCGTTTAAAAACAGTTAACTGCTAAAAGTTCAGAAACGTCTCCATGGAAGAGCCATGTCGGTTGACACTGGGGCTTTCCCGAAGACTGCCAGTGCTTCCTGTTCTCCAGGGGGGCCTTTTAGGGGTCGAACTTGTCACCTCAGCACCACGTGGGACCTTTGCAGTAACCTAGCAAACCCTCACATCTTCCAGATCCGGAGACTGGGAGCAGGGAAGAAAAGGGATTGGTTGATTCCCAACGCTGCCTCCAGGAGTTTCACATCCCCTTGGAAACAGGGATTTCCAGTACAGGTCAGAAGAGCAGAGGGTGGTGGGTGTCAAAAGAGGGGCCCAGCGGGTACCAGGCAGCTGCAGAAACCTCCGGGGACACATGGGGATCTGTCTGTCTGAGAAAGAAAAAACAGCGAGTGTGAAGACGCAGAGACCCCCACCTGTTTAGCGCTGCTCAGAAAAGGATGAGCTCCTGGGCGAGAAGGCTGGGCGAGACCGGGAATTCTTTATTCTCAGGTTATAGGGCACCCCTGAGGATTTTTCTAAGAAAACATTACTGAATCTGTTTTGAGAAGCCCACTCGTGGCAACAGCGTGAAAGCTGGATTAGAACATGCATGCTGGAGACAGGGAAGCCCCTGGGACGCTCACACACACGAGGCTGACAGTGTGCGGACCAGGCGGCAGCCGGAAAGAGAGGAGACGGGCCAGATGCCCTCATCTTCCTGGCTGCAGAATCTGTGCTTCTTCAGGGTGGCTGGGTGGGTGATCGCAAATGTGGTATGACTTCCTGCATGCCTGCTCTTGTGACCTAGAACTGGGTGTGTGGGGACGAGGGGATGGAGGGGACCATCCTGGTGAAAGTCACAGCCCTTCTCACTCCCTCTGGGTTCGGTGTGACAGGGTCCCTGCCCTCCTGAGTCTCGGCCCCGTGGAAAGGTCTCCTTTCCGTGGTTGGCACTCACATTGCTGGCAGGTTTGTGGGGACGTGGGTAGGGTCTCTTTCCCAGGGCCGCAGGTCTGCCCCCACCCTCAGACTTTGACCTCTGTGGCTGCTTCTGGAAGTCTGGTGGTGTGTTTAGAAGAGTGTGTAATGTTATGAGAATTCTGGGGAGTTCGTCTGGGAAAGGAGATCCCAGAGGGATAACAACAGAGTAGTTTTTAGTCACCTCACTTAGTTGTGAAGTAGACGAGTGATTCTGGGGCGCGCTTCCAGAGCTGCTCACACGGTGGGCCGGCAGAAATGCTGTCGAGGTGCTCGTCCCTTCTGGTCACCAGTGGAGCCCCGCCACACTCACAGAGCTTGAAGGGCATGAGGACAACCCTGATGAAGTCTCTGCACACACAGGCCCCCGTTGACTCATTAGCAGAGCCTTGCTGAGGAGGGGTACTGCCCAGGTGGAACAGACAGTTGAGTAACGTGGGGAAATGACATAACTTGCCCGAAGTCCCAGTAAGATGTGTCTTTAAAGTTGGAACATTTCTCAGTCCTTGGTCTCTAGAATAAAAAAGAAAACCAAAAGCCCACTGCTGTCAAGTCGATTCCGACTCGTAGGGGCCGCACAGGGTTTCCAAGGCTGTGAATCTTTACAGAAGCTGACTGCCATGTCTTTCTCCCACAGAGCCGCTGGTGGCTTTGAGCTGCTGACCTTTCGGTTAGCAGTCGATCGCTTTAACCACTGTGCCACCAGGGCTCCCAGGATAGGCTCTAAACTGTTGAACAGGTTCCTGGCGTCCCTTGCTCACATCCTGGAGGTTCCCACAAGTGGTAGGAAGCATCCGCAATAGCAGAGAACAGTGCTTCCTGGACCCAGCTTGAATTAGGGCAGCCTCTGTAAGTCCTGTGGAGAAAAGGCATGGGGCCATGAGAGCGAAGAAATGAGACCCGACTTAGTCTGAAGGGACGCATCTCTGAGGAGGCAACATTTGAACAGGGACCTGCAGGTTGGGTCCAGATTTGGCGGCCGGCAGCGTGTGAGAGAGCGCTGAGTGAGTGGGCAGCAGCATGCCCTGGCCGAGGGCCGTCGTGCCGACCTCTGAGGTGAGTCCTGTGTCTGCAGGATTAGGAAGCTTCCCGTTGTCTCTGCTGACCGCAGTGGGCCACGAGGCCGTGACAGGTACCGCAGGGGTCCAGGTCCATATCGGGAAGCATTAAGAGTGGTTTTCTAGTTTATTGCAGTTGAATAGCCAACATATTCTTAGTTTAAAATACATTTTTTGTTTTGGAATAATTTTGGATTTACAGAAAATTTGCACAGATAGTACAGAGAGGACCTGTGTACCCTTTACGCAGCTTCCTCCCATGTTAGCGTTCCCGTGGTACATCTGTCGGGATGAAGAAATCTGCATTAGCATGTTCTTCTTCAGTTGTGGTGCAGTGGTTAAGAGCTCAGGCTGCTAACCAAAAGGTCGGCGGTTCAAATCCACCAGTCGCTCCTTGGAAACCCTGTGAGGCAGTTCTGCTCTGTCCTGTAGGGTCGGTACGAATCAGAATCAACTTCATGGCAACGGGTTTGGGATTTTTATGTTGTTGTTGTTGTTATCTAGAAAATCATCTGCCATTTCAGCCACGTATTTTTTCATATGTAGCTTTGCATCCCTGTGTAATATTCCTGTTGGATACATTCTTAGAAATGGAATTGCTGGATCAGTGGCAACATGGCGATTTTATAATTGGTGGATGTTGTTAACTTGTCCTCCAAGTGATTGTGCTGTTTGCACGCCTCCCAGTGATACATTAGAATTCCCTTTCCCCACAGCCCGACCAGCACAGGGTATTGTCTGTCTTTTTTTGTCATTGCTAGTCTATTTTTGACACATATCTTGTATTACTTTAAACTCCTGAAGATGTTCCGATTGAGATTCCGCCCCTCTTTTTAGCCCCTAGCTGGTCAGCCAACTTTGACGTCCCCATGGAGACAACCCACGGTGCTCCGTTAGACTCGGTGGGCGCTGACGTCTGGAGCACGGAGGAGCTGATGCCAACGAAGGAGACGGGCTGGGCTTCTTTTTCCGAGTTCACGTCTTCCCTGAGGTGAGTGGACGTGCGCGGGCTCCGTAAACCTTCCGGCAGGAGAGCAGGGGCGGTGTGTGTTTGCAGTCACCACCGTCCTTCACCTCAGTGAGCTTCTGAGCGTAGTGCCTTCAGCGAGGGTGACCCTCAGCATGGGGAGAGTGACACAAATCACCCTCCTCTTTGGTTTCACCCAGTGGCACAGGGAGTGGTTCTTGCCCAGAGTTGCCTGGGACGATGTGCTCCTGGGACTGTGCTGGAAACAGAGGAAGGTGACACCTCTGGCTGGGGAGTTGGAACCAAGGGATGGGGACAGGGGCAACCCAGAGCCTCCTGGCAGGTGCCTCTGGGAGGGATGTGAGAAATCGCGACCGTGTCTTGACGAGATAATGAGAACGTGTGTTGTATTTGTGCTGTAAATTAAGTCATGCTATTTGTGTTCTTCTCAGTGACAGAAACCTATTGCTTCATAATACTCCTGAAGAGTGTTGTCAGCATTTGAGTATTAGCCATGATTTTTGTGTCTCATTTTGCTTTTTTCAATTTACTAAATGTTGTCTTATTTGTCTGCTGACAACTCCATCACCACCACTGATTTGAAAGCCTTTATTGCTTTCTGGGTTCTAACAAGTGGGGCCTGTAAGCAGTAACCAGCAGTGGAGAAGACAGGAAGACAGACTGCTGTGAACCAGCAGTGACTGTCTTAGGTAAACTGAAGGGTAGTGAGCACCTGGCCTGCTGAATAGTCTCTGTAGCATTGAGCTGTTCTTCAGAAGCAAAAGTGAGACTTGTCAAAATGTTCCTAAAATATCATGAGTTATTTCACCCACCCGGCCCCAACAGAGGAACAACTTCAAGTTTCCACCCCTTTTTTCTGTTTTTTGGTAACTGGAGGGTAAGAGCCCGTGGTTGCCTGGAGTGTTGTTGGAGCAGCGTGCTTTCCCTTTCTCCTTACACAGCATTCTCTGGGGTTGTTGAAGGATGTCGCAGGCATGGGGATGGGGAGCAAAAGGGGAAATAGAGTCAAACACACACACACACCCCGCCATTCCATTATCTGGTGTATTTTATGTGTTTGCACAGTGCCAACAGCTAGCCTCGGAAAGAAGGCCAGGCCCTCCGGGCAGTTTGGCTCAACATGATAAGAATTTTTGTGAAAATAATTGATGTGATAGATACAATTGAAATTGTCCCATGTCCACCTCTGCTGTCTGAGCCCTGGGAGCTGGTGTTCATGGTGGTGATGAGAGGCATTCAGAATCTGTCTAGAAGCCTCTAAGAAGTCCCTGCGTTTCTGTTTAGCAGAACATTTACCCACCCCACACTGGTCTGCTTCAAATAACCATTTGCTCTGGGACTAATTTGTTGTTGGCATCTGTAACCCAGCTACTCAGCAGATGCTCATGTCTCCCTAACGGGGCCAGAAAAGATTTTCAAAGATTTTGTGCGAACGAGGGCAACCATGGACTTTTCCCACTGCTAATGTCTGAATTTTCTTTTTTCTAAAAGCACAAAAGACTCTTTACGGAGTAATTCTCCCGTGGAGATGGAGACCAGCACTGAGCCCCTGGACCCGCTGACCACCAGTGTGACTGCCCTCACAGCACAAGCGGAAGGTGCATGCCGAGGGGCCCTGAGAGCCTGGGCTCGGGGGCTGTTGGGCTGTGGTGTTTCTCAGGCCTGGGCTTTACACTTCATTTTCTAGATCTGAAAAGTTGTCCTTACCTGTATGTCGGGTTCATAAAACCAGGCCTGACTCGCAGGCTCAGGGACCAGGAAAGTGCGGTGGTGGGTTTGCTGTCCGTGAGGCCACTTAGGAGAGGAAACTGAGTGCGTCATTCCAGAACTATAGCATACTGCCTCTCTAAGGAGCGGGCATCTCAGTGATCAGTGTACAGTTAGGGAAACTGAGGCGCCGAAAGGAGGACTACCTCAGCCTGCATCCCCCGGGGTGGCTAAGACCAGAACTAGACCTGTGTCTTCATGCCTAGCCTGCACCCAGTTCCTTTGTCCCTTGGAGTCGGCTTTACTTGAGCGTGTGTGTGTGTGTGTGTCTGTCTGGGCGTGTGTGTGTGTGTGTCCGGGCGTGTGTGTGTGTGTCTGGGTGTGTATCAGGCTATGGAATTGTCTGTTCTTCTCGCCTTCAGAAGCAGATGAGTGCTCAAGGGTGTCAGTGTAAAGTTGCCGTGGGGTGTCTTGTTACTCGGAATGTTCCCGTCGGCTCCTTGCACTGGCCCTGAACTGTTTTCAGTCTGAACAGGGCTACTGGGGAAGGGAATGGCAGGCAGGGGCGTGATGGGGAACTGAAGTATGCGGAGGGCAGGAACCCCACGGAGGGAACAGAGAAGTAAGTCCTTAGACAAAGAAAGGAGGACACAGTAAATGGCATGAGCAGCAGGGGGCAGGGGAAGGAGTAAAGCCAGTAACTGGCACTTAGTTTGTTTTCTTGTTGTCCCTTTAAATGTTTTCTGTAGCTTACTTCCCTTTATCCCTCAGCATTCTAGAAGGTGGGTTCAGTTATCCCTTATTCAGGGATAAGAAAACTAAGGCACAGATTAGGCACCGTGCCAAAGGATCGCACAGCTCGTAAGTGGTGAAACTGGGATTTGAGTCCGGGTAGTCTGACTTCCGAGCACAAGTTCATGATCGGTGGTCCCACGTGGCCCCCTGTTACAGAACAAAGAAATAATCCACAAGGAAGCCACAGGAAAGTAACTTTAAAAAAAAGAAAAACAGAATAGGACCTAAATGGGGAAAACTGAAAGGAAAAGAATGCATTAGAATGGGACAGTGACAAGCTACAGCACAGACCCTTCCGGGTTAAAGTGGGTAGAGAATCATAGAGTATGTATGAGCCGTCTACTGTGCCAGAACAGTCAGGAGCCAGAGTGTCTGCCGGGAGAAGCTGGGCGTAGGTAGACTGAGCTGAGTGTAGGTAGACTGAGCTGGGAAGACCTGGGCGGGGGGGCGGCTACTCCTTCGCTGAAGAAAACCCAGCAACTAGACTTCTCTCTAGTGGCCATATTTTATAAGTCTGTGCCCACCAGACCAGCTCACGTTTCCCTCTGCCTCAAGCCAGAGGTGTCACGTGAGTGGATGGGCCTACAGGAAGGAGGGACGGCGGCTCCCGCCTGGCTCTGTGTGCATGACCATCACCTGTGTGTCCTTTTCAGTGCCGGGCAGTGTGGCCATGGAGGCCAGCTCTGACGGGGAGGAAGATGCCGAGAGCACAGACAAGGTAACTGAGACAGTGATGAATGGCGGCATGAAGGAAACACTCAGCCTCACTGTAGATGCCAAGACAGAAACTGCAGTCTTCAAAAGGTAACCAGGGGCGAGACCCTCCTGCGGCTGCAGGTTGTTGGGAGGATGATGGGGAGGAACCACACACGAGAGCGTTTGTAATCTGATTCCAGTGTGGGTGCAGACGTTAGCCTGACGTCTTCTGACATCTGCGCTAAGCTTCTCAAAGATGGATTGTAATGAAGGGATGGAGAGTTTGGGGGCCTGAATGTCGCTGTCTCTTTCGCTCTCTATCTTTTTGTGTTCAGAAGACTAGCTTACTCATCAGAATAAAAGAGTCTAGTGGATTCCAAATACGTGAAAGTGAAAAACTGACAGACTTGTGAGAATTGACAAGTCTTCAGTTGTCTAGAAATTGACTTGTATACAGGCTGCAGCACATGGCCCGTCAAAAGCAAAGGTTCCATCTCAAGGTTCCGTCTCATACAGATTATTGTCTCTGGATGTAATGAAGTCATTATACATGATTAGTAAAATGATAACTTTAAGAAAACAAAAGAATTTAAACATTCAGAAATAAACAACCTCACTTCTGAACTCATGGGTCAAAAAGGGATCATAATGGAAACTATAAACTTAAACCTCAGAGAGTAATGAAGAAAACTTCTGGACTGCAGCTTCACTAGTGCTTAGAGGTTAGTCCCCGTCTCATACAGACTTCTAGAGATGACTCATGGTATGAGCCGCGATGGCGTTGATGCCCAGACAGGATGAAGGGGAAACATGAAGGGTATTCTCATTTCACATTCGAGCATATGTGCACAAAACTTAGTCATTAAATTTAATACACTCTCTCAGTCAAAATTTCAGTTGGATTTTTAAAACATATTCTCAAATTATGTGGAATAATAAAGGTTCCCAGACTACTTAGAAGGCCACAAAGAAGATTAAACTAGAGCCTGGCCTGCCAGGAAGTCAGTCTGCAGAGTCCCAGTGATAGATCAGTGCGTCAGCCCCGAGGCAGGGCGTGGGTCGGGGGTGGATTAGAGACTCAGGGAGCAGTGCTGGGGAGGCTGGCTCACCACAAGGAGGAGTGAAACAAGATCCTGCCTAATCCACACGCTAAGGTGACTTCAGATGGATTCAGACTTCATGTGAAAGGGGGTGGAACAGACACATACAGTGCTATTCATGTGCCAGGCACTGCTCTCCAAATGCTTCATGTATTTATTTCTTCCTTCCTTTATTTCTCTCAGAGGCTTAGCATCCCACTCTCCACATGAGAAAACAAAGCACTGGAGTTAGGTGACATGGCCAGAGTCTCAAGGTCGTTGTCTTAGGCTGGGTTCTTTAGAGAAGCAAAACCAGTGAAGGATATATGTGTGTGTATATGGGGTGGGGGTGGGGGGATTTGTATCAAGGAAATGGCTCATGGCATTGTAGAGGCTAGCAAGTCCCAAGTCCGTGGGTCAGGCATCAGGCTGGAGGCTTCTCCTGACTCATGTAGCTGCGGCGGTTGATGCACCCAAGATCGACAGATCAGACAGCAGGCTGCTGGCACACAGGCTGCAGAGGCTGACGAATCCAAGATCAGCAGGTAAGCTGGCAGGCTGCTGGCTCAAGTCCCAAGAGCTGGAGGTCAGATGATGACAAGCCGAATGCAAGATTCAGAGCAGAGCAAAAAGCCAGCAAGCTTTGTCAGATAGTCCATGTATATTGGATGTAGGCCACACCCCCAAGGAAATTCCCTTTCAGCTGATTGACTGCACATAGCAGTTCTCATCATGGAGGAGATTATATCATTCGGTTTAACTACCAGACTACATCCTAACTGCCAAACCACTGAGAACCGTAGCCCAGTCTAATTGACACATAACCTTAACCATCACTATCGTTAATAGAAGAAAATATGACCTTTTTGATCTAAGGGCAGAAAAGAACTTCGTAAAACAACTTTCAGAAGCATAAACAGGTAATGCAAAGAATGGAATTTGATTGCATCCATGTTATGACTTTCTGGTTGAAGTCCTCTGGACAAAATGAAGAAGCAGATTGAGAAAAGAAAACAGGATCTAAATCGAGAGACTGATGTAATAGTCAAAGAATTCTTGTAAACCAGTAAGGAAAAGGTAGAACACCCACATCAGAAAATAGGCACAAGATATCAGTAGGCAGTGTACAGACAGGAAACCCCAGTGAAAAGCACCCGCAGAGATGCTCAGAACTGGGTCACCATCACAGACTTAGCACTGTACACCTTCTACTAGACAGCGGGAGGTATAAGGTGGCTGCTGCTGAGTGGTAGGGGCTGGGGGATGCAGACTGTGTCGGGTACCTGGAGAGAAGAATAGGGCTACTCTGCAGATGGAAGGTGACCCACATCTTCTGCTCCTGGATGTAGAGCCAGAGACACGCCTGTGCAGTACCGTTAGGGACGTGGACAGTGATACCCGTTGCAGAGGTGTGGAAGTGGGGGCAGTCTGGGTGTCGGTCTCTGCATGAAACCAGGTGGAAAGCAGTAGGTGCACCCCAAGGAGTGTTAAGTCACGGTCGAGAGGAGCAGACCTGCCATCCTCACAGCAGCAACACGATGGAGCTTACACACCCAGCCGAGATGAAGAGATTGGGAAAACGGGGTGTGTGACGCAGTGCTAGCGGTATGACTGAGTACGCAGAGATAGATTGCTGTACACCCCGCAGGATTAATCTGTCACAGACATGGCAGAGTCGTTGCTTTGGTGGGAGGAATAGAGAATGGCATAAAGATGAGTGAGTTTCGAAAGAAGTAATGAACCAGGTAATTCAGATTGTCAACAAACCATTAAACTTTAATTCATTTTCTGCTTATAAATTACCTGGAACCATCTGGAAGCCATGCCAGGAATCATCTGAAAAATTAGGTTTTTTATAAGCAAATCCAGAACAGGACCAGTGTTCCCAAAGGGAGCATGTGCTGCACTTTGTGTCATTTTGATTGTGTAAAAAGGACAATGCCAGACAGGATAGGCCAAGGTTAAGTGTCCAGCCACAAACAGAGTTGAGGAAAGCTTTTGCCTGTTGCCCTTCTCCACCAAGAATGATCTAAGGAGGAAAAATGAGCCTTTCTTGTTTCATTTCCCCAAGCCCACTGCTGTCTGTTCTGGCGGCTGTTCTTGGTTCTTTCCTGCGTGGTCTTTGTGCTTGTCACACATGATCTGAGAGCCACTTGAGAAAGCTTTAGGTCCTGCTTCAAATGACAGAGCAGCCTCCTCGCCTGCCGGTGGCTGCCCACCAGCCAGCAGATGTTGGGGTCTGGCCAGCTGTTTGCCAGTAGGCTCGGCCCTGAGAGCCAAACCTTTAACTAAAGACTCATTCCTTCAAACAGGTTCCTTTGACACCTCCCCAAGCCTGCAGCTTTGCTAACGTGCAGTCGTGGACATAGGTCCCCAATTCCTCACTTACAGGAGTGTTCTGAAACTTTTGTACATTTCTTTTTCTGTTTTGCACACTTGGCTTCAGAGTGTTGAAGTCCTACCGGTATGTTCGGTACCCGGGCCCTTCTCCCTCTGACACCTGCTGCATCACACCATCCCTCGGGCTCCCGCCATGTGGTCCCCTCCTCTGTGATTGCCTGGCCACTGTCTGTGTCCCTGTGCTTGTCCCCGAGCATGCTCCGCCCGAGGGCTCTGACTCCATGGCGGCCACGACTCCACGCCATTTGCATGCGACCGCGTCTGGCAGGGCACCGTGCCAGCACACGTAACGCTCCATGTCGCCCTCTCTACTGCAGCGAGGACGGAAAACTGTCTACCTCTCAAGATGCTGCTTGTAAATATGTGGTGGAGGAGAGCCCCGAGATGGCGGAGGTGAAGTCCGCGGCCCCCCAGCTCCCCAGCAGTAGCCCAGAGCAGAGGTAACTGCCCGCTTCCCCAGGCCCTGTGGAGCCCCTGGCCTTGCCTGCTGACTCCTGGCACTTGGAGGGGAGTTGATGGGGTGTGGGTGGGCCGTCAACAGCTGGCGGTTCTCCGTCCTCAGGGGGATCAGGGTGGCTGAGCTGAGGACTTAGAAATGCTGCTTTACCTCCTTCACCCCAGAGGCTGAGCTGGCCGGTCTCAGATGACTCGGAGTGGAGCGGCACCAGCACCCCGGGAATGGCAGGCCCCCCTCTTCTGTGGGGCTCTGAGTGGAGAATGATACTGGGCCATGGCAGCCAGTCCTGGTCGGCCCTGTCGAGTCACCCAGCCACCCCCGGCGGCTCTTGACGCCCTGAGAGCCTGCTGCTGTGGTCCCTCCCTCCGTGGGCCCGTGACACCATGAGAGAGAGCATCCCTGAGGACCTTTCGTAGCTGTAGCTAAATGTTTGCAACTCTTAAACGAGTCCCTGTTTTGGAGGTGGTTTTTTTTTTTTTCAAAATATCTTGTGTGCTAAGAGTTAAAATCCCACCACCAAAGCCGTGTGATTTGGATGTGATGTTGTGATGTTTTCTTTGTCACCTTGTGCTTAGACTGAGCTCACGGTTGAAGGGACGGCCGAGGTGGGTGCTGGGTCTCGGAGAGTGAGCTCATGTGAGGGTGTCCTCAGGTGGCCCCAGAGCGCATGCCAGGAGATGACTCTTTGTCAGATTGACCTTTCTGATGAATCACATCCAATCCGTAAGGATTCAGTGACCTTTAAAGCCGTTTCAAAGAGGCACTTCCCCTCCCAACCCAGTACCTCTAGGTATTTTATGGGTAACGCGGCAGTGGGGACAGTAGGGGGCGCTCTGTCTCCACTGGTCAGCAAACCTGCATAGCAGACCTTGTTTTTATTTCTCCCGTGGGCATTATACCCAGAATGAAGGGTTTATTTTTATGATTAAAAAATCCTGCATGTACACGATTATAGGAACTGTTTGAGGTGGGTGCTGTAGTGAAGGCCTCTGGAGGAAGGTGGTGACGTTCAGCGTTGTGGAATCCCCACCCCCAGTCAGTCTGAGGGTTGGGCCACGTCCGGGGTTTTGAGAGGTATTTGTAGCTCGTTCCTGATTAGTTATATCATCTCCCTAATTTTTGCCTGTACATTTTCTTTATACCCGAGGGAGGCCTAGTAGGCAGGATCACACACCTCTGTCCCGGTTTGGAGTAGTTGCTTCAGGAGTTTGCTCTTCATTCTCTGACGTGAGTCACGCAGCAGGCTCTGGGGTCATCTCCTTCACTGTCTGGCCTGCAGGAGAATTGTCTTTGCTGAAGGGAAATCCACCTGTTCTTCTCCCTGGCCAGTAAACATCTGGCAGGAAGAGCCTGCCTCTCAAATCCACAGGGTGACTGCAGAGGAAGAAGTTGGGGTGAGCCAGTGGGAGACGCTGAGGGTCCCACTTGTCTCCGTGGGTCCGTCCATCCTCCACCCAGCACGGTTGCGTGTGGCAGCGCCTATTCCAGGCAGGGCGTTGAAGAAGTTACAGGCACACAGCTAATAGAGGGCCACCGAGAGAGACGTGCAAATGAAGACGAAATAAAGCTAGCTGAGAGAAGTGACAGGAGCCCCGTTTGAGAAAGGGGTGGGGCAAGGCCTCTCTGATTGTTGTCATGGCAGGATCAGGGCAGTTTCCCGTGTGTCACGTTGAAGGTTAGAGATCCCATTTGGGATTCTCAGTGTGCGGTCTTGCCACATGGCCCTGTCACGGTCAGTAGAGAGGGCCCCCGACAGACGGGTGTGCTGCTTGCCGTCCGTTTTATTTCTCACCGCATGTATCAGGCGTGCACTGTGGGCCAGCCAGTGTGCAAGGCCCTGTGTACACCCTGTACCTACAGAACCCAGCTAGGGCCAGGGGTGTTGTCTCCCTTTGTAGGGGCTGAAAACTGAACTGGGAAAGGTTAAGAAATGTCTTAGGATTAGCTTGTAAGTGTGGTGAAGGCAGGCTATGACCTGGTTCCAGAACTTTGCGTTCCTGTGTCTCTGTGGTGTACTGAGACATCATGGGATGTGAGTAGAGGGCACTGTGTGTGGAGCGGACGCTTTGTTCTCTGTTGTGGTTAGCGGGTGTCGGGTCCGAGCTCCGTGGTTTCCTCTAAGGCGTCCTCTTTATAAATCCTGATTGCTCCTTCCCAGCTAGGACTCCAGGCATCCTTCTCCAAGTCCACTTTACAAATTTGGTAGAGCCTTAAGGAATAGCTCAGATATGTTCGGGCTGGAATTTTGGCAGGAAGGCGAAACCTTGTCTATTCTGTCCCTGCTTTGTTTATATAGTACACTCCCCCCCATTATAACCTTGACGTTTGCTTTGTGGAAGTACATTTGTTAACTTGCACGCCTTGGTTTTCTCAGTCATTGGTCTGTTTACGAACCTTTTCTTTCATTTCCTTTTTTTTCTCCCCGTTTCCAGTAGCAGAATCCTGTTTTTCCAGTGAAATTTTATGTGGGTTTCAACATATGAAGCAGAGAAAGGCTCTGTAGGGGCAGGGTGGGCACACGGCTCCTGAAGCCTCTGGAAGCAGCGCTTTCAGAACCTACTGGCCTAGCCTGCTTTCAGGAAGTGGCAGTGGGGGCTTTCCATCGGGACCCTGCTCCACTGGGGAGGCTTAGGTACGACTCAGTTGGGTTTTCTGGAGTTTGAGATTAATTCGTTTATGAGGCATTCCATTAAGTGCCTGCTAAGCGCCAGGTTTTGTGCTGGGCTTGGGCCCACAATATTAAAACAAGTGCGCCCTGTCATCAGGGAGCCAGACGCAGCCCATCTCCTCTCCCGCCTTTCTGCACCAAGTGCCTCACCCCTGTGTCTCGCCCCTCAGGACTGACCAGCCAAGCGTGCCAGGCGACACGTCGGTCAATGGCCCTGTATGATGAGTGATGGCTGCTGCTGCTGACTGAGGACCGCAGACCGCTACCACCCAGGGGCTTCCGGAGGGTTCCACGGAGCCCGCTGAGCCAGTCACTGCTGCACTCACTCTGCAAGGGATCAGGACCAGCAACCTTTCTACTCTAGATTCTAAGACATTGTACAGAGACATTCAGACGTGTACAAAGATTGCACATTGACAAATACCAAGAATTTTTGCGTATGTTTATATTGTATTGTTCTAAATCATGGGTGGCCTGTGAAATAAGATCTTGCCGTCCATGTAATAATAGTAGTAATACTATAGTTCAAATGGCTGTAAGAATAGTTTTATAAAAGTGATACACGGATCTGTCGTATGTGGACGTAACTATCGGCAGTTACTGGTGTGACCAAAGTCTCGGGCAGTTTTCACACCGCCACCTGGTGCGCCACCCGGAGCCCGCTCTCCCTTGAGCGACAAGGAGTCACAGGGTTGAAATGTCCTCCGAGTGTTCATTTGGTTGTTCTGGCTCACAAAACGATTTGGATAAGAAATCTTTGGTGTTCTTTTTATAACCAGTTTTCAATTGGTAACTGTTTATTGTTTAAAATGGATCAAAAATGTTAAGTCTCTTGGTAGAGATTAAGTATTTATTGCTACAACTTAGTTGATAAATTGATGTTCTTGTGAAGCCATATGTTCTGTTAAAGTCTTGTTTGCTTGAAATGATAATCCCTACAGGTGAAACACTAGCATATTGGGAGTGTGTGTGGCTTGTGGTTTGGGTTTTTTGGTTTTGGTTTTTTGTTTGGGTAGTTCATCTGCCTTTTTAACCCATTCACCAAAATTCCCCTTGTTAAGAAGCATCACCAACGAACATTTCAGAGCAATCTGCACATGTTGCAGACCTAAATTATATCAGGCAAGTCCATGGAAAATGCTCGTGCTGCTAACGGAAGCTGAGTGCGTCCATCCGGCAGGCTCATGTTCTAAGGTGGAAACCAGCATCTGGCGCCTCCACACGTCCTTTGTTGTCCCGTGTGTACCGTGCGAGGTCCCCACTCATAAACTCGAAACCAGTGTATTTTTTTTTAGAGCTGGTTTGTGTATATATATAGTGATTATGGATACTAATTCAATGTAATTTATAATTTTCTATGTCAATATAAGAGTACATCACAGCCTTCTCAAACAGCTGAAGCAATATACTGTATATTGCCATATCGTCTGGTGAAAGGGTTAAATTACTTCACCTCTTGGCACTTTTAGATGCAAATCAGTTTCTCATTTCTGTAATAGAAAATTAGTCACGTATTTTTACATCGTTCGCTTTTCCTGACCAGTATTTAAAACCAAAAGGATATTCTGAAAAATGGCCAACAATTTTTTTTAGAAATAGCATCCCAAGCAGCGTGCCTCAACATTACATTGCATACGGAAATAAACAAATCAAACATCTAATGCCTTATTTCTTATTTACTTTTTCCATTTTAAATGGTGTAGAAACTCTTCCGTGAGGTTTCCCAGGCCAGCCTAGCACTCCGAGGACAGTGGAATCAGCAGTAGCCCCTGGGACAAATGGCAGGGGTGGCTCACTTGACATTTGCATGCCTCCTCAGGAACCCTCTTGCTGCCCTGTGCTCCTCTCAGAAGAGACTTCTCGTGTGTTCGCATGTGAACCTGGCTCGGCCGGAGAGCGGGTCCGTGTCAGTCGTCTCAGGACGCCTGGCTGCGTGGCCAGGACCACGGGGACCGCCACTGGATAACGCACCTGTCCCACCTGGTAGAGAGCTTTGCAGGCCGAGGCCAAGGCTGGGCGGCAGTGGCGGTCCCGGCTGCTGCCGCAGTTTGGATTTGGTTGGTTTTCCCATTCCACCCAAGGTAACGGTGTCTTACTTCATCCGACCTGCTGCTGGTTAACGGGCATTGGGGTTTTTTATTTGGGGTTGTATTTTGTTTTGCTTTCTTATATGGCAGGAAAAGTCCATGAGCAAGGGTAGAAAGTCCTTGAGGATTGGAAGGTGGCAGCCCACGGGCCAGGAGCAAGGATGCTCACGTAGTAGCTACTTTAATTTCTGTGTATCGGCCATACTGAACTGCGAGACTAACAGATGTCTATGATACCTGTATTAAAAGTAACATCAACGAAAATAAAGCCTGACTTTTGTTTCTAGTACCCTTTTCTCCTGTCCTTGCTTGGGCTTTACTCAGCAGACGGGTGTGGGGCTACAGTGAGAGCTGCCGTGGCAGTGTCCTGGCCGAGCTGTGATGTGCGCCGGGCCCCATGCAGGGAAGACTGGGAGCAACCTGGAGAGTGTGGCTGCCGGCCCCACGGCTTGTCTCGCCCACTCCTGCAGCCCAGTGCCGGCCGTAGTGGCGCTCGGGACCTTAGGTTGGCAAGGAGCTGCCTGCCACCGGCTGCTGTCTGTTCCTTGAGCTCGTTGTCTTCATGTGTGGGGCCTCCCCAGCCTGTAACCTTTGGCTCCCAGCCCTCCACATAGCAGTTTCCTGATAGAACCTCTCGGGTGTTCCATGATTACTTGAATTCGGTGCTGTATGACAGATGCTTACTCTTCTTGTCCCTCCACCTATTTGAATAAAAAAGCGTTTCACTGGTTCTTATCCCCTAGGGCCAGTTAGTCACCAGATCCCCCTGCACTGCCTAGCTGCTAGTCTGGACATGTACTTGGACACCCCTGAACCACTGCAGGGGGCTCACCAGGCACTCTTGCACCATGGTCAAGGGCACGGGCTTTGGAACCAGGCTTCCGTTCATGTCCCACCATAGCCCCTCATAATGCTGTAACTGTAGGCAGGTTAACTTCTCTTCGCCTCGGCCTTTTCTGTCAGATGGGGGAAATGGTGTTACCAGTTTTGTAGACTTAATACAGGTAAAGTAGCTAGAGCAGCTCTTGGCTTACTCAAAAAACCAAACCCGTTGCTGTCAAGTCAATTCTGAATCATGGCGGCACTGTGTAATTCTGACTCAGCAGTGAGCTGGTAGCAAGCCCGTGTAGCCACATCTGAAGTCAGACTTTGTAACAAGGTTTTCTGCATTTGTCTCTCAGTTTCTGAACTTGGGGTGGGGGTGATAGGGCCCCCTAACAGTCCCCTACAAGGAAAAACAAGAATGAAAGGATGTAAGCTGTTACACTGAATCCGAATTCTCTCCTTACAAGACAGGTGGGCAGACCCGGGTTTAAAAGCAAACCCAGCAATGTGTTGTTTACATGAAAGTTATGAAAGTGAGGAAGGGGGAAAGTAAAGGGATAGAAAAATAGGGCAAGTGCGAACAAAAAGAAGGACGAGTATTAATACCAGGCCAAGAAGAATTCGAACTTGAAAGCACTGTGCAGGGTTAAGAGAATGTATCAAACAGTATAAATATAGCAGCTAAATGTAACTGTTAGAAAGGCAAGAAGAGGGACTGTTATTTCCAGTTTGTTCAGGCTACCAACAACAAAAGTTAGATTTAAGTTTTTTTAAAACTTGCTTTCTAAAAAAGAGCCCTGGTGGTACAATGGTTAAGTGCTTGCTGCTAACTGAAAGATTGGTTCAGACCCACCCAGAGGCTCATGGGAGAAAAGACTTGGCAGTCTGCTCCCGTTAAGATTACAGCCTAGAAACCGTTTGGGGCCATTCCACTCTGTCACCTGGGGTCTCCGTGAGTCAGAATTGGCAGAGCCCAGCAACAACAACCTGTTCCTGTCGGGTCGATTCCGACTCATAGCAACCCTATAGGACAGAATAGAACTGCCCCACAGGGTTTCCAAGGAGCGGCTGGCGGATTCGAACTGCCGACCTTTTGGTTAGCAGCCAAGCTCTTACACACTGCAGCTCGTGGTGGCTGCTAACCAGGCTGCTAACCAAAAGGTCGGCAGTTTGAATCCGCCAGCCGCTCCTTGGAAACCCTATGGGGCAGTTCTACTTTGTTTCATAGGGTCTCTATGAGTTGGCATTGACTCGATGGCAATGGGTTTGGTGTTTTCTGGTTAACAACAACAGCTGTTAAAAAGGTATTGGAGAGCAAACAAGGTGCCAGCGCTCCAAGGGCCAAAGTCCTGGAGAGGAAGGAAATGCACGGAAGGAAGCCTGATGCTCCGTGCCGCTTCTCCGCTTGTAGCTTCTGCTGGTTACGTGACATGAGGCGAGACAGAAAGCACAGGCTCAGAACTGTCTGCAGTCATACAGGGCGGGGAAGACGAAAACTGGAATTGAGGGCAATGAAGGAAGCTGAGATCAGGGCCAAGATCCTGGAGAAAACAGGACCCAGCCTTCAAGCATTCCTGGGCTATGCAGGGGAAAAGGCAGAACAACCAAGCAGAAAACAGCAGCGAGGCTAAAAAGCTAAGAAGAGTTTTCAGACATCTCAGCGTTGGGCAAACAGAAATCGGAGTTTAGGGGCTACCAAGGAGGTGGGACTTTGGTAAGTATCCCAGGGTTTCGTTTGAAACCATTAAAAGGAATACATCGTGGAAGTTGTTAGGGACCGTCGAGTTGATTCTGACTCATAGCGACCCTGTGTGACGGTAGAACTGCCCCGTAGGGTTTTCTTGGTTGTGATCTCTACGGGAGCGGATCACCAAGTCTTTCTCACATGGAGTGGCTGGTGAGTTTGAACCACCAACCTTTCAGTTACCAGCCAAATGCTTAACCACTGTGCCACCAGGGCGCTGTATCATAGGAGTAAGAGCACCTGATAACCTGGTCTCAAAATATAAAGCAAAATCCGGCAGATCTAAAAGAAACAGACCCACGATCAGAGGAAAAATTAAACACAGATCTTTCAATAACCGATAGGATTGATTTTTTTTTAAAGGTAGAGATATGGAAGAATGAAAAATTTAATATGGTTGATCCAACTGAGATATAGAATACTGCACACAACAATTCTAAGATAAACTTTGTGTACACACAAGACATTTCCTAAAATTGACCATGTTCTGGGTTAATGGCAAAGTCTGAACGAATTTCAGAGAAATGAAATCATGCAGAGTATGTTCTCTGCCCAAAGTGGAATTAAGCCAGGAAAAAAAAAGACAACTGGAAAATCCCCCAAACGTTGGGAAATTAAACAACATACTTCTAAATAATCCATGAGTCAAAGTAGGAAAAAAATCAAAATAGAAATTAGAAAATATTTTGAACTGAATTATAAAAACAAGATATACCAAACTTTGTGAAATTTAGTAAAGCTATACTTGGGGGGAAATTTATAGCCTTAAGTATATATTATAAACGAAGAAAGGCTGAAAATCAGTTATCTGTTCATCTCAAAAAGTTTGCAGAAAGCACAGTGAGTTATGGGAGGAAAAAGGAAGGAAAGAAAAAGCAGAAATTAATGGAACGGAGAAAGAACAAGTCAACAAAGCCACAATTGGTTCTATATAAAAAAAAATACAATGTATAAATTAAGGTGGTAGATGGATTAAGGCAGCTAATCAGCTGATTTTACCACGGAGTTCTTGTTGATAGGTGCCATCGAGTCGGTTCCGACTCGTAGCGACCCCATGTACAACGGAACAAAACACTGTCCGGTCCTGCTCCATCCTCGCAGTCATTGTGATGCTTGGGCCCATTATTGCAGCCACTGTGTCAATCCATCTCATTGAGGGTCTTCCTCTTTTTCGCTGACCCTCCTCTTTACCAAGCATGATGTCCTTCTCCAGGGACTGATGCCTCCTGATAACATGTCCAAAGTACATGCAGCACTTCTAGAGACTGGAAAAAGAAGAAGCACATTAAGAGAATAAAGGAGAAAAACCACGTGCTCAAATGCAGAGAAGTAATTTGATAAAATTCAACACCTCTTCCTAATAAAACTCTGAGTAAACTAAAATGGAAAGGAACTTGCTTATTTGATGAAGGGTATCTATAAAAATCCCACAGCAAATATCAAGTGTAATATGAATTATAAAACCCATCTGGGATTAGGGAATGAAACGAGTGTGTCTTCTGTCACCACTTATTTCCAGCATTACTTGGAGGCCTGCAGGTGCGCCAAAGCTAGGGAAAAAAAAAAAAAAAAAACGAGAAAGGAAGCACTGAAACTATTATTTGCATGAGACATGATTATGCATGTAGAAAACCAAAAGGAGTGTAAAGATAACAGATTGGAGTTAAGTGAATTTAGCAAGTAAACCAAAAGGAGTGTAAAGATAACAGATTGGAGTTAAGTGAATTTAGCAAGTATGCCTGGATACAAGGTCAATATAAAAAATCGATTCTATTTTTATAACCTAACCACACACATCTGGAAAATGTAATATAAAAACAATTCTGTTCCCGGATGGAGCAGGAGAAAGGTGGGGTGTAGAACTCAAATTCTAGTAAGAAGACCGGACTTAATGGTCTGAGACTGGAGGAACCCCGGAAAGCATGGCCCCTGGACTCTTACCAGCCCAGAACTAAAACAATTTCTGAGGCCAACTCTTCAGACAGGGATTGGACTGGACTGTGGGACATAAAGTGATACTCATGAGGAGTGTGCCTCTTAGCTCAAGTAGATACAAGAGACTAAACGGGCAGCTTCTGTCCGGAGGTGAGATGGGAAGGCAGAGAGGGTTAGCAGCTGGTTGAATGGACATGGGGAATCTGGGGTGGAAAGGAGGAGTGTGATGTCACCGTATGGAGAGAGCAATTAGAGTCATATAACTGTATAAATTTTTGTATGGGAAAAAATTCTATTCACAGTAGCGTCAAAAACAAATTAGAAATAAATTTAATGAAACACACAAAAGACCGCCGTACTGTAAACTATGAAACGTTGAGAAAAATGAAAGACCTAAATAAACATACATTATGCTGATGGTTTGGAAGACTCAGTATTGTAAAGACACCAATTCGCCCTCTGGAATCTGTCTTTAGGCTCAATGGAATTCCAATCAAAGTCCAAACCTTTTTTTTTTTCCTGAAAATTGACAAGCTGATTTTGAAACTTCTGTGGACATGGCAAAATTCAAGAATAGTCAAGGCAATCTTGAGCAAAGCAGGAAGTGTTATGGATTGCATTGTGTCCCCCCAAAATATGCGTTGGAATCCTAACCCCTGTACCTATAGGTGTGATGCTGTTTGAAAATAAGATTTCCTTTGTTATGGTAATTAGACCATACCTGAGTATGAGTTATTAAAAAGGCAAATTAGAGACACACGGGAAGACAGATGCCATGTGAGGATCGTCTACAAACCAAGGAACCAAGGAATGCCCGGGGCTACCAGAA